ATCATCATCTGTTATGGTTAAAGTATTCTCCTGGAATTGCAGGGGTGCTAAGCACCCCAAGTTCTTGCCTACCTTCAACCTTTATAAGAAAAATCATAAACCTGACATTGTGTGTATTCTGGAACCCAGAATCAGTGGGAGAGAGGCTATCATAGTGATCAAGTCCCTAGGATATGACACTTGGGACATCTCGGATGGTTCTGGTTTTAGTGGGGTAATCTGGGTGCTTTGGAACAGGAGTGAGCTCATGCTAAGGGAGGTTGACAACCATAAATAGTTTATCAACTTAAAATGCTCCTCCCTTAATGAAGATGTCTTCCAGATCACTGTTGTGTATGCTAGCCATAATGAACATGACAGAGTAGAGTTGTGGGATGCTATGAGAATAATTGAAAGATACACTGACCTTCCATGGATTCTCACAGGAGACTTCAACTCCATCTCTAGAGCATGTGATAAGCAAGGAGGTGTTGCTTTCAACTTTGCCAAAGTTAAGAGCTTTTAATGAGTGTATGGAAGACTGTGGACTCATGGACCTTGGATTTTCTGGTCCTAAGTTTACCTGTTTTACAAGACACTCAGGCATCAAGGAGAGACTTGATCGAAGTATCTGTAACTTGAGTTGGCATCACAAGTTTCCAGGCACTTCCACCTTACACCTCCCTAAGATCAAGTCTGACCACAGGCCCATTCTGACCTGCACAGAGTCTCAATCCACTAAAAAGAGGTTGGAAAGAAGAGTTCAATTTCTAGACTCTTGGCTAGCACATGAAAACTTCCCTGACTTCCTGTGCTCTACCTGGAGGAGAGGTGAAGACTTCCCTACATCTCTAAGGATGTTCTCATATCAGCTCCAGAAATGGAACAAAGAGGTCTATGGAAAAAAAATTCAGAGGAAAAGAAGACTTTTGAATCAGCTCAAGTCCTTGGAAGCCCTCATGAGAGACGGTCAACCACTAACTCCCTCAACCAGGAGCAAAGGACTAGGGAAGAGCTGGAGGATACTCTTTGGCAAGAGGAGATGCTTTGGATTCAGAAATCCAGAACCAACTGGGTTATCTTTGGGGACCTGAACTCCAAATACTTCCACTCCAGAACCCTTAGCAGGAGGAAGAGAAACAAAATCACTTGCCTGAAGAATGACAAAGGAGACTGGATCACTGATGCTGATACTCTCCTCACCATGGCCAGGGAGTATTTTCTTCACTTATTCACCATGTCTTCTTTGAATCTGAACTGCTCTATTCCTGCTGATTTCCCTCATGTTGATGATAACTTGCTTGCCAAGCTTTCTTCCTTGTCCAATGTTGAGGATGTTAGACTTGCCATTAAGGATATGAATGGGCTTAAAGCCCCTGGTAAGGATGGATTCCAAGCCATATTCTACCAGAAATACTGGGACATTATGGGGAGGGATTTTGCTGGTTTCATTATTTCTTGTTTCCGGTGTCCCAACAAAATTAGGTTGTTGAATGATACTCCGATTACCCTGATCCCCAAAGTGGATAGCCCAACCTCTACGAGCCAGTTCAGACCCATAAGCCTCTATAATGTTGGGTATAAAGTCATTGCTAAACTGATTGTTAATTGATTGAAACCTCTCATGGCCCATCTGGTAAACAAAAACCAGTCCAGTTTCATCCCTAAGTGACATATCACTGATAATATAATTATCATGCAGGAAAGCATTCACTCCATGGCTCGGAAAAGTGGCAAAAAGGGGTACATGGTTCTCAAAGTGGACCTAGCCAAGGCCTATGACAGGATTGGGTGGGACTTCCTTCATGAAACCCTCAAGGCTGCCAGAATCCCTGATGAATGCATTAAGTGGATTATGGAGTGTGTGACCTCTACAAGCTACCAAGTGATTTGGAATGGAGGTGAAACTGACAGCTTCACACCATCAAGGGGCCTAAGACAGGGATGCTCTCTCTCTCCCTATCTTTTTACTCTTTGTGTTGAGAGACTGAGTCACTGTATAGGGAGTGAAGTTAAGAACCATAGATGGAACCCGATTAGGCTTTCCTCAGGGGGTCCTGCTCTCTCCCACCTCTTCTTTGCTGATGACCTTGTCCTGTTTGTTGAAGCCAACACTGCTCAAGCTGATGTTGTTATGAACTGTCTCAACAACTTCTGCCTGGCTTCTGGTGAAATGATTAGTAAAGAGAAGTCTAGGGTCTTTTTATCTAGTAATGTTAAGAACAAGGATAAGAGTGATATTTGCAATAGACTAGGAATCTAGGCCAGCTCAGACTTAGGCAGATACCTTGGTGTTCCTGTGTTACATGGCAGAATCATTAAGAACACTTACAAGTTCATACTTGACAGGATTGACCAGAAACTCACCAGTTGGAAAGCCATAACTCTTTCCTTGGCTGGTAGAGTCACTTTGGTTGTGTCTGTGCTTAATGCACTTCCTACCTATGCTATGCAAACCAACTGTCTCCCAGTATCTATCTGTGATGCTATTGATAGGAAGGTTAGATCCTTTGTTTGGGGTTCTATTCAGGGGAAAAGGAAAACTCATCTTATTTCCTGGGAGAATATCTGTAAACCAAAGAGTCAAGGGGGCTTAGGACTTAAATCTGCTAGACACATGAACATGGCTTACATTATCAAACTAGGGTGGCATATGCTTAATAATGCTTCTGGTCTATGTGTTCAGGTCCTGCAGGAGAAATATTCAAGCATCAGGGGGTGATATTACTACAATGAAAAAGAGCAACCACTCTAATCTGTGGAAAGCCATTGTTAGAGGAATGAGGCTGATGAAAGAGGCCACATGTTGGAGCATCAGGGATGGGAAGAGTACTCTCTCCTAGAAGCAACCTTGGGTTGATAACAACACAATTCTTGCTGACCTTGCCACTGTCGACATCAATGAAGAGGACCTGGATTCTGTTGTTGCTGATTGGGTCACGGAGGAGGGTAGGTGGGACTGGATCAAACTAGGTCACTACCTCCCTAATGATGGGGTTTTGACCATTGCAGGAACTGATGCACCTGACTCTGAGCTGGGAGAGGATGTTACTATCTGGGGCTTGGAAAGGGATGGAAGGTTCAACCTGAAATCAACATACAGTCTTGTAGCTGACATCGAGGAGCAGGAGGAGAATGGCAAATGGAAAGAAATTTGGAAATGGAGGGGGTCAAGTAGGATAAAACACTTCCTATGGCTGGAAACCCATGATCGCCTCCTCACCAACAAAGAGAGGGAGAGAAGGAAGCTGACAACTTACAACCTGTGCAACCACTGCAAAGAAGAAGAAGAAACGATTGAGCACATCCTTAGGAAGTGCAAAAAATCCAAGACCATTTGGGAGATCTTTCGGAGCAAGGATTCTACCAAAAACAGTAACCTGAACTTCAATGAATGGCTAATGCACAATATCAGATTTGAAGAAACAACTACTGAGTTTGTGATCATTTGCTGGCAACTTTGGAAACAAAGGAATGATGAGGTAATGGAAGGGCGTACTTTTATGAAAGAGAGTGTCACAACAAGAATCAAGGCATGGTTCAACATTGTGAATCAGGCTCATACCAATCTACAGAAGACCTCAGGCCTGGTACAAAAGAAGAAGCTATCCTGTAATGTGGGATGGAAACCGCCAGATGAAGGGTGGATCCAACTGCAATCGGATGGTTTTGTACGAGCGCCAAGTGGGAGAGCAGCAACAGGAGGATTGTTCAGGGATCACTTAGGTAGATGTCTGGGAGCCTATGTGTGTAATTTTGGACGATGCTCAATCACAGCTGCAGAACTGCGAGGAACCCTGGAGGGTCTGAAAATTGCGTGGAAGGCAGGCTACAGGAAGATCATTCTCCATAGCGATTCCACTACTGCCATTAACATCATTGAACACAGAAATGATGATGTGCATCGCCATGGTACTACTGCCAGGCATTTGAGCCACATTTTGGATCAACAATGGGAGGTTAGAGTTTCCCACGTGTATAGAGAAGCGAATTACGCGGCCGATTACTTGGCTAACAAGGCTCATGATTTTGATTTTAGCACACATCACTTCAATGTGTGTACTGGGAATTTCCCATGAACGTTCTGTTATTAATATGAAATTAGACGCTCGGCGTCTGTCTTTTACCCAAAAAAGGGTTAATAGTTAATACCTTAGTTTGCCCGAACTATACACATATTTTCTACTTTGGCCCGTGGTATTGGAAATTGCTATTCTGGCCTGAACTATGTAGCAAACTTCCTCATTTGGCCTGGAGGCGGGTTTGACCGTCAAATTAGACGGTCAAACCTATTGACCGTTAGTCAATGTCCACCTCATCTGCCACGTCAGCTTTGAGGACATAAAAAATTATTTTTTTTAATTTCTGAATTTTTTCTTTCGATTAATAAAAATAATAAATCAAAAAAATTAATTAAAAGAACGAAAAAGGGCTCACTTTTAGCAAATGACAAGAAAACAAAATTCAGAAATAAAAAAAAATATTTTTTATGTCCTCAAAACTGACATGGCAGGTGAGGTGGACATTGACTAACGGTCAACAAGTTTGACCGTCTAATTTAACGGTCAAACCCGCCTTCAGGCCAAATGAGGAAGTTTGCTACATAGTTCAGACTAGAATAGCAATTTCCAATATCACGAGCCAAAATAGAAAATATGTGTATAGTTCGAGCCAAACTAAGGTATTAAAAAAAAAAATCCAAAGTACAGAGTTTGGGCCGCGAGCATCCGCCCGCTTCATTACTCACTCTTCGCGGGCTCCTTCTTGATGAGGTTCCCCGCACTGCTATTAGGAGGCTAGACCGGAGCTTTAGAAACCAGAAGACGGACGGCGGGTAAACCTAACCTAGTTGCCCCGCAAGTCAAACTGAAAGGTTTCTCCCTTGCTCTTTTCCGTTGGTTGTTTTCTCTTCGTTCGATGGCTTCTCAGTAATGTAATGGACGTTTACAGTTTCTCTTTCGCTGCTCAAATACAGGATTCAAAAAACAGTGAAGTAGAACTCCGAAGAAGTTAATCCTTCAATGGAACAGATTTTGGGGCTGGGATACGGGAACATACCCGTCGACGATGTGGTCGATCAAAGAAACGCAACGCTGTCCTCGCCGTCCGGTTACAGAATGGTGCCGTGGTTGAACTGGGGCGAGTGGGAGTCCGTCAAGGATTCTCTCTTCTCTGACTCGCCTCACAAGGTTGCATTTGCACTCCATAGAGTAAGGCCCAGGGCTCCCTGGTTCTGCTTCCTTTTTTCCTTAATTTGCTCCGTGGGAAGGTCCCTCTACTGTTCTTAACAACACTTCCTTGTGATTCTAAATGCTTCTGGTCAATGTTACTGAGCTGATATTCATGGCGTTTCAGATATCGACCTGGCGAAGTAGGGGATGTCTACCTGTTGTCATCGATGTAACGGCTTCAATAATTGAAATTCAGCAGAAGGATCCGGTTTATAGGTATTTGTGACTCCTAGCTTCAACATTCTTGGTTCAACTTTGTATCCAAGCGACCGTATTGAATCATCTCAAAGTAAAGTTAATTTCTCAGGAAGAGTTGAGTAAAATGAACTGCTGTAGGTACTAAGTGGAAATTCTTGTTGCTGGAAAAGTTTTGCTGGGCCTACTTTTCCCTTCTCATGGTTTGTGGTTCTGCTATTGGCATCTTACATGTTCTGTCCTATTGATGTTGTTCACAGAAAGGACCTTTCCGGTGATGCCGCACATTCAGAGCAAATGCTGGCTATGCTATATTGCATGGCTATCTTGAGGTGCGATGTTTCCCCCCCCCCCCCCCCCCCCCCCCCCCCCCCCCCCCCTTGTGTTGCGCCGCCTCCTGTTTCTTCTCTGGCTTTGAAATAGTGGATCCATCTATAGTATTGGACATCTGATGATGATTCAAGCATCTGCACGTGTTTTGTGTGGTATTTTTTTGAATTGTACTGCATGTGGATGCCTTGCTCCATCATGTTTAGACATGAATTTGACTGTGTTTAACGGCAAGCCTCATCAAAATTCTGGTAACTTTAGTCTGATACTGTGAATTCTGTGCCAAAGGCTGGTGAACTGTGTCATTGAGAAGACACGTAAGAAGAATGATGCTTCTATTGGCGAGGCTGCAGGTGCAATTGGCATACCTCGCACATTGATTGATATACGACATGGTAAGTAACTTTAATGCATCAATCCTCTGCATCCTCCACTGTATAGGAAACCAATACAATCGTGACTAATAAGTTTATTCAGCTCAGAAGAATTTTCTTTTCTTATTTACTGTGTAGCACTACTTATTATTCATGAAATAATAGGGTTACTGAAAATCCCATGTGTCATACAGTTTGATTTGAGCATTAGCTCATCCTCAGTTGATTCCGTTTTAACAGATTCATTGGACCAAGGAAATTGTCTTGTGTGCGTAGTTTGAATATTGGCACTTGACTGTAACCTTCCTGGATTTGAACCTAAATAGTGCTCAATGCTATTTATTAATTGGATTGGATTCCGGTTTATATCATCTGCCTTCAGTTACTTATGGTTGGACTGTGACTGCCTTTTCTTATTTTCCTGTTACTGCTTTTTTTGGATTTGTTTACGAGAGCAAGATCACTTGTTGTAGGCAGCGAGACAACAACATCAACAAATTTTTTGATTGTTTGATACTTAACTCTTACAATTGGATGCCACATACTTGTCAAGGTTCTTACTAATTAAACTTATATAAAATATTGCAGCTTCAAGATCTGCCTTAAGTATCAGTTTTGGAAAATTAATCAATGTACTTATTTATAGTGTGCCTCGTGCCAACAGGTTCTTCCTTTGCTTTTTGATTCTTGGTCTAACATCTATGTAGTCGGACAAGTATTCCTTGGAAAATGTGGTTTTGGTGTGCTTATATCTTAGCTTTTGTGATGAGGAATTTGTTGTCCGATGTACTATTTTACACTGACAGTCTTTCAGTTTTAATAAACGTAAATTCATTTATCGTGTACTTGGCATGCATGTGATTGCAGAGGGCTCTCACCGCGATCTCCCTGCACTACCTTTGGTTCGAGATTCTGCTGTTAAGGTAGTGTCCTTTATGTAATATATGTGTTAATATCCAGTTTTATTAATTATGCTGCTTTTATTCTGAATCTTATTTGTTTTGATAAGTTTTGACGCACTTTCTTCATATCTATTTGATTAAGCAATTTTCCGTTCTTCAAAAAATGGGTGCTTTCTCTCTGAACAATGTTATTTTGAAACTGCATGATATCCTGGGAAGAAAAAAATATATTTTGTTCATGCAAGGACATAGGATGGCGATCAGGGATACTATATATAATGTTGATAATGTTGAAATAATTGCACGAAAGCAAGCCCATGATGCTGAAGCCACAATACACAAACAAAAACATTGACCTAAAGGCAAAGGCCCTGTTAAAAATGCACAAGAGAGTAAATGATTTCCTTATGCTCACCCAAAATAGAAATTAGCAAAATCTTTGATCGTCTGGAAAATGAAACAAGCTAAAATTCCCTTAGCTTAAATCTGAACAAAAAAATCATTTGCATTCTGAGGATTGTATAGTAGTTATTATGCTGATGCTGAGAAATGATCCTATGCTATTGTTGATCTCAGGCGATTGAGTGGTTGAAGTGGTACTACTGGCAGCCTCAGACGATGCAGATTCCATCTCAAAGGGACGGAGCTTGCATTAGAAAAGAAATAAAATCTAAGCTCCTTGAACTTGCTTCATGGTCTAAAGTTAAGCAGATTCCTGATACCAGGACTTCTCCATCACCTGGGAAAAAAGGTGAGTGACTTTACCCTTTCTTCTTTCCTGCATTATCTTATGCACCAAAGCTGTTCCCTCTCTTGCTGTACCTTTGGCTCTTTCTTATCTTGCTAGCACCTCAAATTTACTCCAGATTGTTGATTACATTCTTGGAAAAGAAAGACAAATTCATTTTTCTTTGAGCTATAAGAAAAAAAGCCAAACATAAGAATGATGAGCTGACTGTAAAATAATGTTCGAATAGTTTCAAAATGTAATTCAATGGTAATTTTTCAAGAACCGAGGCAATCTTCTCTCTAGGGAGATGAAGTCTTAGACCAAGGACAAGCTACTGTATTAAAAGTTTGGCTTGGATTGTTCTAATTTTGTGCACTGACTAAACCGCTATGAGTTTCCAGTGTCATTTACTCTACTATTTACTAAGATATAGCTTATTTCAGTTACTTGTGTTTATTGATTCACTCCAAAAGTGTTACTCTAGGAGTTGGTTAGTCATATTAACAAATCAGGTCGTTGTAGGTGGCAGATATCATAAACAGTCTTGTGGCAGTTATAAGATTTTCTCAATGGTGGTGGCCGGAAAGCTCCATTCATCCAAATTTTGTGGTAAGGAGAAAAATATTTTTGAAGAATCCACATTTTAAGATTCATATGGATGTGATAGTGGTTCATGGATACTCAATGTTCTTTTAACCCATAGGCATGGTGCACATTCTGTCATTTGCGGTCTGTCGTAAATCATACTTTTTATTTGGCAGCAAGGCACTTGATGTGGCTAAACTACGTCCCTAATGCGGTCGTAGTAGCAATTCCTGCCACACAATGTGCAGTGTTATGACTGTATGGTTTGTCTACGTAATGTACATAGATACATGGACGTCCTCCTTTTCCCCCTTTTCTTTCTTAGCACATACAGTGATGTGTTTGTGTATGCATGCATGTTTCCATGAGTTGATACCACTGTGTTTGTATTCTATACATGTAAAAGGTTTCATTCTCTTTGGCTTTCAGGTTCCAAGAAAACAGTTTCCAGGATCCTTAAATCCCTAGTTCAGTTAAATTCATCCTTCCCTTCAGAAATACTTTCTGTACTACTAGAGTTATTGCTGAAAGCTTTGGACTCCACAAATTTGTTGGAGCTTCGAAATGAAATCAAAGTCGGTGAAAAAAATTTACTGGATGTTTGGAAGCTTATGGTAACCAGATTCTCAAAGAAAGAACCTGAGCTGCTTCTTACACTTACCAGATCAGTCTTAAATTTGATTGAGAGTGAAGAATCAATGGACTCTAGAATGGGTAAAATTTCATATCCTCTCCCTGGCTCTCGAGCATTTATCTGTTATTTGTTGCTTTTCTGCGCCATTGTGCTTATAAGAGAATGACAACATAGTTGCAAGAAGTGGTAATTGGATGCTCTAGTTTTCGCATAAATGTTGTTTTCCTGATTTCTAAAACTTCGTTTGCAGGGATGGTTCCTCCATCAACAGAGCAAGAAATGCAGCCTAGTCGAACCGAAGGACTTGGTTCAGTGTTTTTATGGCTTATAGGACAGCTCCAGGGACTAAAGGAGACACTCTTCTCCAAAGACGCAAAAGCCGAGACCAAAATCAATTCAACGGGAATGAGCATGTCGAATGCCATTCTGATGGGGATCCTACGCAAATGCCTCCTCGCCTCATCTTGTGGCAACAAGCAGCTCATGGATGGGGCAAAGCTTCTTGCTGAGCTCACTGGAAAGAGCTCTTTAATCGAGAAACTCAACAGGTTAAGTTCCCATTATTTATCAGCAGCGGCCCCTGTTCCTGAAGAAACAGCCAGCGGTAGCCCAAATCACGAAGAATATCTCCGTCAAGCTACTGAGAAGTTAAAGGAAGTGTTGCAACACCGTCGAAATCAGGGACAACTGTTGAGTCCAACTGCTGGTGAAAAAACTGATTCAGACCGATGGGTTGTTGCAAAGGGGTGGAACCCTTGCCCTATAGGAATGTTGCCCGGAGATCTCGGTACATCTGGCCGCCTTCCAGTCCTCGACAGTGAAGATACAGGCAAGAAGTCCGCCGTGGTACAAGAGAGGGATCAGACTCCGGAACTGAAAAAAGACAATAACAGCACGAAACAATCTGGTGCCAATTTTCAATCCTGGGACGATCGAAGCCTAAAAAAGAGAGAAGCAAGTTGTCTACCGCAAAAGTCAGGTGCTAAAAAGATGAGACACAGTAGTGAAGTGGAAGATGAAGCAACTCCAGCTGTCCATAGCTTGGACGGATGCTTGCTGATCGACGGTGCGTGGAAGAAAGTTGCGAAGGAAGAGCTTCTTGGTATGATGTCAGCAGTTAAAATTTTGTTGTAACCCGAAGCAACATCTTGCTCAAGCGCATCCTTTTAAATTAGATCTGCAGTAGTTTTCTGAGAACAAAATGTGGATTACTTGAGTCACACTCAACAGGGTTTAGGGATCGAGGAATTGAAGCTATCACAGGAAGCCAGCAGCGGCGATCATGATGGTGGAGGAGTTCTTGCCGGGGTGACACGAGAACACAATCAATACATGAAAGTGCGAAGCAGGCGGTGTCTGCGAGGATTCTTTCATGTGATCTTCTCAGGTCGACCCCGTAAGAGTCCACCACCAAATAGGACTGGATAATCTGTGCTTACTTTGATTTGGTTGGTTTCTTTCTGAGTTCTGACATTTATAATGATGCTTCAATCTTCGATTTGAATTCGGAGATCATGCACGTTCGATCCAATGATTTCAACATGTTCTGGCATCTACTTTCGGCAGGAAAATGTTGACAACAGCAGAAAACTTGGTTACTTCTTCCAAGCAGCAAAATGTTGCGGCCAGCCGGCCGGCCAACCAACTGAGGCCACCGGTGATGCGTTACCCATCAGATCGAAGTGGGGCCAAAGTGGGTGTCGTTCGTAGGTTAGGTCATCCGCATTCCGCACCTATCAGAGTTCTTCCCAAACTGTTGATGCTGTGACTGTGAGATGAGACTTCCAGATTTGACATTTTTGGTACTACGAGCACTCTTTGCTCGCAAACCTCTAGTAGACAACTCACCAAACTAAACATCAGATGAATGAAGGTAGCTGTCATCCTAACTGAAACCAGAAAAACATTGTTGGTCCTCACTAATTTGGCAAATTCCATCGGGAAGCCACAGTGACCAGACCCCACTAGATATAGGGGTTCGATTAAGACAACATCTCGAATTTTTTCGCGGTAAAATACAGCCGACTATCATTACAATAGATCACATTGTATGATTTGAATCGCTTGACACTGTGGTCGAACAACCGATTATATGGTACTTAGAGTGCACCTTCTTTGATCACCAATCCATCCAAATACCGATTTGTTTCCAGGTATTTAGATCAAATTTTGCTTAGACCAAAGTTCTTGCTTAAATGTTAAAAAGCAACTAATAAACAAATGAAACAGATACAAGTACAACCATATACAAATTACCTACTTTTGGTTTGCTTAAAAAGAGTTTACGTTATTGCTTTAGCTTCTTTTTTTTTTTCAAAATATATCATGTATTGATCGAAAAAATAGACAGTTACACCCTGGAAACCAGCCAGGTCTGGAAATCAAAGAAGCGATTCATAATCGGATACAAAGAGAGGGCTTTCCTAGCTACCAAATGAGCTACCCTATTGTTCTCCCGACCTATAAAGCACACACTAAAACCGGGCTGACTACGAAAATACTGAGCAATCTCTTCCAAAACAGCCCCAACCGGCTATCTCTTTAGCCTAACAAGACGTACAATTAAAATAAATAAAACATTAAACTATGCGTTGGTTGACCATCAAACTTTAATCTAATGTTAATTGTCTTCAGGACCGAGTTCGGCGGCCTACCTTACCTCAGTAAGTAAGTAGTGCCGCCCACCTAACTCTCCGCCGGCGATGAGTCAAACCGGCTGAAAAGGAATAATTAAAGTAGCCCGACGAGAGTGAAGAGGGAGAAGAAGAGAGACGGCTCCATTAACCAATTTTGGCCGGCCGGCCCACCCGCCTTTATATGCTCGTTGAAATCCACAACCCCGTCGTCCCACGTGTTCTCCCGCCGTTCGACAGAAAAGAAAAAAAAGGAATTTTAAATCTTCTCCGCCCGTGCCCTTCACCGACGCTAAATCCGAAGCCCGCCCGCCCGCCCGCCCACCAATCAAAGCAGCTACCCTGCCAAATTGCCAATCGACATTACATTATTAATCCCTTCCTAGAGCTTCTTCAATCTTCACCACCAATTCCTTTTTTCCTTTCTTCCCTCCATTTCTCTCCCCCTGTTTCCATTTCTGGAGCTGAGTTGGGTTTCCCTCCTCCATTAGTTTGTATCAGCAAATTTAGCCAACCCAGGTGGGATCGGAATTAGCAGTTTCCGGTTTCCGGTCTCCTCCTCCCACCTTTATAAAGGCTTCTGCATCGTTGCCCATTGAGGGAATCTATCTTCTTGGGCGAAAGGAAGAAACGGGAGGAGCTCATTTCGGTTTTCCAAGGGGGGATTTTGGTGAAGAAAGTGATGAACTGAGAGGTGAAACGAAAGGGGGGAAGAAGAAGAAGAAGAGAGGAGGCTGCATAGGGAACTTCCTTTTCTTCCTTCCACCACCAATAAGCTTCGAGGTTCATCATCTTCTTCTTCATCAACCCAATCCTATTTTTGTCCTCCTTCCCCATTTGGAAATCGGGTACGCCACCTGTTTGATTTTATTCCCCAACGACTACCCAGATCTGATTTCTCTCTTGCTGTCCACCTAGTTTGTCCAAAGAACACTTATTTTGATTGGGGGATATTAATTAGGTAGATTAGATATGGGCCTCTGTATCTAGACTTATCCTTCCACCATATCCGAAAGTTCATCTTGCTTCCTCTTCCAGGTGTCAGGAACCTATATCAGATCTCAGGCTGTCCCACCCACCACCACCACCACTGAGGCAGGCGGAGCCCCCTTCCTTCAGAATTCTTGCTTTCTTTACTTTACTTTTCCTTCTCTTTTTACTGGGTTCATCAGGTCCATCCCCCATTTGTGCTCTCTCTGAAAATCCAGCCCTCTCTTTGAATGACAGCTGTGGGAGCTGTCTGTACGAATCAAGTTTTATTGTGGTGGTCATCCTGTTTCGACAAAGAGAAAAGGAACCATTAACAAGTGTTAATTATTCCTTTTCTGTTTTAAAAGTCTGGGATTCTTGCTTGTTTAAGGTGACATCTCACCCTTTTCGTTTTCTTGCTGCTTTGAAGTTTTATTCTGATCCGAGGGATTCCAGGGAGAATAGAGAAGGCCCACCGGTGGGTTTGGTGGGCTTTCTCAGTGACCAATCAAACACCTTCGTTTCATTTTCAAAGAGGGGGGTATTTTTCCATTTATTCTTCTTGTTGTTTGTTTGTTTGTGAATGATAGATCCCACTTTGCTAATCTTCTTCATTTTAAAGGTGGGCTGTTGAGAGGTAGAGAGAAGACAATTGGTTTGGGCTCTCTTTGCTCTGCCAAAATTTTCCCCTCACCCATCTTTTAATACATAGCTTTCCCCCACAATTTGTTCTTCTTTCATTGATCTTCCTTCCACTCTTTCCCATCTATTTATCCCAAAAACGGAAATTTGACTCATTATAGAATTCTCCCATTTCCTATCTAAATGCTACTTTACTTCTTCATCACTTGTTTCTCCTTTGCCCTGTTTCTTAAATCGCTCCCTCTCAAGCCTCTGCCTCCATGGGCAACTGAGATGAGACTGCTCTCAGTTTTCTTCTGGAAAGACTTGCTTTTGGGTTCATATTTTGGGTCTGCAAAGAACAACTTTTTAAGCCTTCTCCACAGCAACAAGAGAATGGTTCTTCTATCTGCTTCAAATGCAAAAACTGAGAAAGCAGCTGGGGAAGAAGAAGTAGACGGACTAGAATCCATGCTAGTCTTGGATTTGCCGGAACTGGCACTTGAATGCATACTTGAGAAGCTATCCCCTGCAGGGCTTTGCAGCATGGCTGCTGTGTGCTCCTCTTTGAGGGAAAGGTGTACAAGTGATTACTTTTGGGAAAGGCATATGAAGCAGAAATGGGGCAGGATAATTGGTCCTGCTGCTTATAGAGAGTGGCAATGGCATCAAGCTTCGAGAAAGGATTTGGGAAGCTACAAACCAGGCGAACAAAAGGGGTGGTCAAGGCTTGTTTCTGCAGTTTGGTCTGCTTTCCCTTGGATCAAATTGAACGCGGAGAGTCAGAATAACAGCAATGAAAATGGTTGCAAGGAGAGAAGTTGTAGCTTGCCTGTTGATTCAACCATGGCATGGTACCTTGCTCTTGAGAGTGGCAAGTTCTGGTTCCCTGCACAGGTCTACAACAGAGAGGTATTAATTCCTGCCCAATTTTTCAACTTCCACTTACTGTGTTTCTTTCTACTGCTATGATGTGAAAAGTTCTCAGCTTTTCTTGTTTTTGTTTAATTCCAGAATGGTCATGTAGGGTTCATGTTGTCATGCTATGATGCTGATCTTAGCTATGATCCTCGTACTGATACCTTCCAGGCCAGGTAATGAATTGGAGAGGAAAATTATATGATTGTCTAGTTGGCCTGTCAATAATTGTAATTAATTAAATTGATACCCCTCCCCTGATTCTTGGGTGATCTTTCTTTGCTTTTTCTGTCCAAAGATATTGGTGTCCCAATAATAGATGTGGGAGGTAATTAACAAATATATAACGGTTAGTTGATCTTAGTGGACTCAATTCCTGATGCGTAGTTTTTTGGTTCATTGTTATTTTATAAAGATATCCACCACATGGAAGGAGGCCAGTTGCAATAGAGACCGGTGTCCACTGGGAAAGGCTAAGAGCACCTCCAGTTGATACTTCTCCTCATGATCTCCATGCTTCGGATTGCTTACATGATTTGAGCCCTGGTCATCATATTGAGATTCAGTGGAGAAGGAACAAGGAATTCCCTTATGGTGAGTTCAAAACTTTAAATTATGTTTGCTATCTACACATCTGCGTATTCTTTCTAGGGTGTTCTGGGAAGCTTTTCCAGAGTAGCATTCAACTTAGGAGACCAGCAAAATCCATTAAACAGGATATGCTGAAACATAATCATATCATTTGACTGGAAAATGAAAAGGATTGAATTTTCTAATAGGAAAGAATCCTGAAACCAACGGAGGATTGTAAATCTACACACAAAAAAAATTAAAAATTAAAAACCCTATTTTTGTCAGTCACAATTTTTTATTCTCCTAATCCTTTTGCAACTTGTTAGTGAACATGTCCGCTGTCTGCATAAGCGTACGGCAATTTGTTTAATGGAGAGAAAAGCTTTTCCTTTTATTATTGTTATCTTGAGTAATTAATCAATAATTAATGTCATGATTGAATCTAATTCCTTGTTTGATTGGATTACCGCGTATGGTTGCTTGCAGGTTGGTGGTATGGAGTGGTTGGTCACCTGGAAGCATGTGACGGGAACGAGCATTATTGCCGGTGCCATAATAGCGGTGAGTTCATTTCCCATTCATGCTTCAGATCGATTGCTCATGTGATTGTCTGAAACCACAAGCAAAGTTTCAGTTCATGAACCTGTTTTCTTAGTTGTAAAATAACAAAAATGTTGTCATCCTCCAATATAACAAAAGAAAAGCCCATCTAAGCACAGACAAAAGTGAAACCATTGCAATGTGGTTTGTGGAATCATAATCTACATGTTCATGTGGATGAGATCAAATCTAAAGTATGCGTTTTGAAAAATTAAGGATTTTTAGGCTGGTCTAGAGTTCTGTATAATATATTTAATAGCAGTGCAGTGGACCAGTGGGTCTATATGCTTTGTTGGATTGGTTCCTTTCCTTTCAAATGGACAAATCACTGTCAATATGTCATGACTTCCACCAACATTGTGTCTCAGTGGGAATACTTATGGCCAACCATATTGAAAATTTACTCATGTGTCTCCCTTATGAGCTCTTGTTATTAATGAGACCCCCCAACTCTCCTTCCTCTGTCCATTTCTTTGACCTGTGGTGGAATCACTCGTAGTGCTGTGGGGCTCTGCAACTGTTTGCTATCCTTATGCTTTAATACCTTATTCTCCACTCCATCATCTTCTCACCTAATGCTCACTTCCCCCAATTTTCTGTTTTGCTCTTAACACATGCACTCGCATCATTGCTTTTTACACAACCCACTTCTCATGTTAACATCACTTAAAAGCTACTCTCACTTTTCTCTGGTGATTCCCTCAAGTTGATTGGACACAATTGCTGATCTTTTTAAACCCACTTCTTTGGTTTGCATCCTTCGGGAAACAGTTTCCTCGCCAGCTCGTAATTAGAAGAACACATTAAAATATCAACGAGTTGATAAATGCTTTCTTTGTAAGATCTTTTAGGAGTCAGTGCAATAATACCCCCCAAAAAAGAAGATCCTTGTAGATCTTACTATGGATTGCTAAAACCAAATTATGCAAAAACAACCCTTGTATTGTTGCAAAGATGTATTTTGGCTTGATTGTAACAAGTTCCACAATTGAATAGCATGGTTGCCTGTCTCTAGATGGTAAAAGGCAGATGCCATCTCTGTGGCTGCTATCTTTCTTGAAAAGAAAAGGACGTATTTATGCTCTCTTTTTAGATAGCTAGTTGTGTACATCAATAGCCGAATGTGCCACAGAAGACATTGATTTCTCAATCATCTTTACTGCTATCGTTTTGACTTTTTTTTTTTTTTTTTGTATGTTGCAAACAGAGACCGTAGTGTTGGAGTTCCATCAGTATGCTCCAGGATCACGGTGGAGGCGAACAACGGTGAACAGAAAGGACCATCGAGAGGAAGGGAATGAGGCGGATGGGTTCTACGGCGGTGTCAGAAAGCTTAGCAAAGATGACGAAATCTCAAGGTGGAAACGGCTTTGGCCTTCCGAAGTCCTGGAATGAAAAGGGTAGCTCCAAAGTTCTAAGCTTTGCCGCCTTCTGGTACACATACAAGTTCAACTACTCAAATTGTTGTTGTGACTTCAGTCCATAGAAAGAAAGAAGAACCAAGATGTGTATATGGAAATTTTTCGAGCAGTATTGAAACCATCTCAAGAACCCCCTACATTTTGTAAACTCTGCCATGATTGCAGAGAACTAAAAGGTGTAGGCTCTTGGCATTATTTCCCCCCCCTTTTTTTTTTCCTTTTTGGGACTTCTCTTTCCCAGGTGAAGGATGGCTGCTGCCACGGTAAATGTAAGATGTCATCTCATTCATAGAGATCTCTTTGTACAATATGCCCCCCAGATGATGATTATAATATGAACAATTTTCAGCTTTCACTCAGCAAGACAAATGTTCAGTCTCGTTCCTAGCTATTCAATTTTCCTTGACAGTCGTTTCAGAATACTTCTGATATATGAATCAAATTATCTATGGTTAATACCCTAGTTTGGACCGAAGTTTAGCGTAAGTGACAGTTCTGACCCCATTTTTTAAATAAGACATTTACGGCCTACTTTTGAAACTATTGGACAGATTTGACCCGAAACTTGTATTGACTATTAGTTTTAACGGTCAAACATATAATCCGTTAATAACTCAACATCTAGTGCTGACTAGGATCATACATGTCATCATTTATTAAATTAAAAATTAAAACTAATTAAATATATGATTTTTTTTTTCCATAGACTTTTTTCACTCTCCTCTTCGGGGGACCGGTTACTATGACAACACCCCTTGTGTTGTTATTGTAACAACACTAGTCTCCAACCAATAGGAAGCTAGGGTTGTGATGACTTTTATTAGATGAGTTGACCTAGTGTAAAATCAAAGCAGGGGTATAATTGTCATTATGAAAAATATGTTTAAATAATCATAAACAATAAAATAAATAAATTTTTTTATTTTCGGCCCAAAATCTTGGTCGCCGGAATATGCTTTTTTGTCACCGGAATATGCTATTTTGGCATCGGAATATGCTCACCGTGGTCGGAATATGCTTACCGGCGTCGGAATCTAGTCATCGGGGCCGGAATATGCCTATCGGCGCCGGAATCTACTCACTGACGGTCATCGGAGTTTGGTCAACGAAATTCGTTCGTTGACCGGTCAACGGTCTTCATTTACCGGTCAACGGCCAACGACCACCGGATGTTATGGTCTGCATTGTGAGATTTATGGTTTGGTTTATCATATTTTTGTATGCCTTTTGTGGTTTGCTTTATCGTGTTTGTGGTTTGCATTAAGAAGTTTCTGGTTTGCTTTATCGTGTTTGTGGTTTGTATTGAGAAGTTTCTGGTTTGCTTTCAAAAAATTTGTGGTTTGCATTGAGGGATTTCTGGTTTGTTTTAATATACTTGTGGTCTACATTAGGACGTTTATGGTTTGGTTTTTGTGGTTTGATATACTGTGTTTGTGGTTTGCATTATGAGGTTTCTTGTGTGCTTCGCAAATGTTGTAGTTTTCTTTGTGAGGTTTGTGGTTTGTTTTAGGAGATTTGTGGTATGCATTCGGAGGTTTCTAGTTTGCATTAGGAGGTTTCTTGTGTGCTTCGCAAATGTTGTGGTTTGCTTTGCGAGGTTTCTGGTTTGTTTTAGGAGATTTGTGATATGCATTAGGAGGTTTCTGGTTTGCATTAAGAAGTTTCTGGTTTGTTTTATCGCATTTGTGGTTTGCATTAGGAGGTTTTTGATGTGTTTTAGAAATAGTTGTGGTTTGCTTTGTGGTGTTTCTAGTATGTTTTAGGCAATTTATAGTCTGTATTGAGAGGTTTCTAGTATGCTTTCTAAATAATTGTGATATTTGTAGTATGTTTTATAAGATTTATGATGTGCATTCCAAGACTTTTGATGTGCTTTCAAGTGAACTTGAAATTACTCGAACTTGTAAAAATATGCCAACACTTTCAATGTCGACATTCAAAAATCCTTCAATGTCGACATTCAAAAATCTCAGTGACAGCAATCAAACATTCAACATAAATCTCATTTCACTGGAATCAATGGCAAGAATCAATCAAAATAAATGGCAAATCAAGACATATAATTGAGATGGAATAGAGCTAGAAGAGAACGAATGAGAAAAGAGCTGGGCAAATCAAGACATATAATTGAGCTGGAATAGAGCTAGAAGAGAACAAAGAGACATGTTTTAGAGCTGCAGTAGATCCCTGTGTCAAATAATTAACACTCTAAACCCATGAAGTCCCTAGCTGAATAACATGCTTCATCTCCACCATGTGCACAAGGCCTCCACCATGCGCACGAGATCAGGAGAACAGAGAAGATCTCGTTGCGGTGAAGTGCGAAAGCAAAGGAGGTAACGGCGAGAGCGAACAGGGTTCCCCACCCAGATCCAACTTTCCCCAACAACGAGTTCCCATCACCACTTCTGCCGCCACCATCACCGCGAACACAATCCGCCACCGTCGTCGCGAAGGCAACACGCATGACTCAATTGAATCGGAGGAAAAGGGAGGAATATAGAAATTGGAATCACAAACTCAATTGCTAGCCGTCCGGAGATGATCTCAAAATCCTGTCTCATCTTGGAGCTCTCAATTTACTTCGACAGAGTCTCCAATCGGCGACGCCTTGTTATCTCTGATTTTTCCGACAACGACGTTCTTCCTCGCCTTCACGACCTCAAACGGCTGGTGACAGAAGAAGCAGAGGCGGCGGAAAAGAAACAGGGGCGGCGAAGGATGAAGCGTGGCGGAGTAGAAACGTCGCCGCTGCGGGGTGGTCGGAAGGCAGGTCGTCGGAGATGCTCTTCCGATGCCCAGTTGTCGTATCGTCGATGGATGAAAGGAAGAAGACAGACTGAGATCTGGAATTTACTTGTAAGTTTACTCTTATACCCTTGTTGTTACCGTAACAACAAAAGGGTTGTTGTTATTCTATCCGTTCCCCCTCTTCGACTCCTAATTCACCTATTCTGCCGCAACTCCGGCGAATTAGCTCCTCTGTTAACACCGCCTCGTACTTCTGCTCATCCCTCGAAGGGCCTATCCTGCCTACTCAAACTCTCCCCAACAATCGCCGGCGCCACCCACCTCCTCCCTCTCTCTAGTCGATAATCTAGCCCACAAAAAATTCTGTATTGCCGCCAAACCATCATGACCTGGAGATCCAATCGTCGAAGAGACATCTGGTGCAGAGGAAGCAAAAAATAAGCAAATGAGAAAGGGTGGCGGAGGCCTAATCACTCCAAATCTTTTTTTCTCAGTAGTGACCTTTTTTACCGGTGATAGATTTTCTCTCCTTGTTCCTTGAGATGAGATCGAGAGGCGAGTTTGGTAGGTGTGAACAGGGGACATGATTTTGGAGGTTGTCTGGATTTCTAAAAGGGTTCGATTTTGGGGTTTTTTGGGTTTGTGAAATGGTAAATTAGCTGATTGAAGGTCAAGGGAGGATTGAAGGTTTGAGATAAGATTTTGGGGTTTCTAGGTTTCTGAAAGGGTTCGAATCGACGGATTGAAGGTTTCTGAAATGGCCGCCACTGGATTGATGGCCTTCACCCTTACGGCTTCCAAGATCATCCCCGACGTGTGGAGGTCGCCGAGGTCAGCCCTTCGCTTATGAACTTCTTGTCCAACATTATCGTCGGGCGCCGGCGGCGTGCTCGCCGCTCCTTCTTGTACCCACTGGAAAGGAAAGAGTCACAGAGGAGAGGGATGAAGAAGAGGTGGCTAGGTTACAGAGCCAAATCGATAGGGATTAGGTTTTATTTTTTATTTTATTTTCATTTTCTAGAATGTTAAACATAAATAAATGATGTGGAAGCCATGTCACTGTCACCTCAACACTGAATGCGGAGTCAATGAAGGGTTAAATGTTTGACAGTTAAAACTAACAGTCAACATAAGTTTCGGGCCAAATCTGTCCAATAGTTTCAAAAGTAGGCCATAAATGTCTTATTTGAAAAATGGGACCAGAACTGCCATTTACGCTAAACTTCGGGCCAAACTAGGGTATTAACCCAATTATCTAATATCTATTGTTGTCCAATGTCTATAACTCTTTTCGTGGATGTAGGGATAAATGACACAAATATTGTTTTTTTTTTAAATTTACCACCAATATGGTGGATTAAAAAGTATTGACACAAATATTGTGTTTTTGTGTAGAGTCTGGCGCTTGAGACTAAGGTGAGGTCGCTTTATAAAATGTTTTAACCTGTCTGAGGCGCGGGCGCCTTAGTCTCCAGCGCCAGCGCCTGTGAGTTTATAACCTAATTGTAAAAGCGCCGCGGGCCTATCTCTTTCTCATCCTCCTTCTTCCTTCCTTCCCCCTCCTTCCTCCCGAACCAGCTCCGCCAAGCAGTAGTCACAGACCAAGGCGCCGCCGCCGCTTTCCCAGGCGCCGCCGCCGCAGAGACAAGAGCCGCCGTCACAGACAGAAACGCCGCCGCGCCAGACTGAAGCGCCACCGCCTTGGATATGTCATCCGACGAAATGAAGCTATCGCCGGCAGAGTCAGGGGGATAGGCCGGCGAGGTCGTGGAGGTGGCGGCCGTTTTCGCGGTGAGGGTCTCGCCGGCGGCGGCCGGAATCTCGCCGGCGACAGTTTTTTTTAATTAATGTTTTTGTTTCTTTGTTTTTTCAGCTCCTAGGCTTATGGACCCTTATTCGATGAGACTACCGTCGGTGACAATTGATCCAGCTCCGGTCGATCCGGTACTTCTTTGGGGACATGGACAACATCGTATCGACTCAGTTTGGACAAACGAGGTAAGTATTTGATAATTATTCATGTAAAGTTAATTAGCTAATTAGATTATTTTAGTTGGGGAACTGAACTGTACTGAAATTAGAATAGGATTACGTACCAAATTTTTTGAGATTAGATTAGATAGATTAGAATTTATTAGGAGAAAATTAGAAGAATTATTACGAATGAAATTGAATTAATATAAGTTTTGTGCACTATAGGCTGGTGATCGATCTTACCATGTTCGAGGTACGACCAATTTAGTGATGTACCATGAGCTTTATCAGCCATATCTCGAAGCGGTTTAGCAGATTTCCGAGGATGCATCCCCACGTGGTCTTCGATGGCTTTCGGCCAACACTCGTCAGTATGGTGACCAGCTATTCCAGTACAAGCTGTGGTTTGATGCGATGGACACCGTGGTGGTTAGTATATAACATTTCATTTTATAGAATAGTTTTCATTTGTTTTTTTAGATTTAGGGATAATAACGTTAATATTTTTTGTGTACTGGCAACCTTATGTTGAGAGAGCACTTCATCTCATAGGTAGTGTGATACAGTCTGAGACGTTTCGAGCAGTGTGCCACTTATCTGCTTTTCATCGGTGATGTGGCATCATCCAGTGAAACCTGTGATCAACAATAGGCGTTGGAATTACGCCATATGAATCAGCAAGTGATAATTCTTCGTCCTCTTCATTACCCTGCAAGTAAAAATATGGAGGATAATTAGGTTGCTCTCCTTCCCCCTCCTCCTCCTCCTCCTCCTTGATAGGGCAAAAGCGTATAGCTTCAATTCTTATCTCGTAATAAAACCGGAAATTCCGGGTATCGTCTCTCAGGGACTGGTACAACCTTAAGTTCTATCAATTTTGTATAGCAAACTATAGGTGAAAATGGTTTGGTTTAATGAGATTATTAACTACTAGCAAAATAATTAAACTAATTAAGCAAAGTAAAATGGTCGGGAGAAAATCAATGGGAGAAAGCTCTGGGAGAAACATCGGGATACACTACCTATCCTATCCAGATTAATTCACATACTCCAATCAATTTAATCCATATCTCTACAGCCAGGATATCACGAATGTGCTAGCTATCCCTGCCGGGAATTACTACGTACTAAACAATTAAATCAAATCCTACTGTCGTAGCTCAATGACCTAATTATTTAGCCTGAAGATCGATATCCTATTTAAGACCGCATAGCACCTTATTTAATCCACTGTCGCTTCGATAAGTTACTATGTCACAAGAAATAGGTTCAGTTAATAGGGTTTCACTGTCGCTAATAACCTAATTAACGACGATTCATTGTATTGGTGGCCAGTCAACACAAAGCATTAAGTAATTTCATGCAATAGAGATTGGAGGAAAAGAATCATGAATCAATCCATCAAATCAAAAAATAGCTACATCCTATGGTGTTTCCCCCAAAAATCGGGGTTTAGTTCATAACGAAAATAAAACAAACAATCATGTTCATAATCATCATGTCACGAATCAAAGCAAAGAAAAAAAATACTCAAATTTTATTCCCCTGCTCGCGATCGCCGCAACGCCTCTGCTGCTCGTCCTTGGTTTGCTGCTGCGCCCCGCTGCTTTTTTTCTCTCAAGAATTCCGTGTCCCAGCTTCCGCTGCGCCTCTCGTTCCGCTGCTCTCAAAAGAAGTCCCGTCCCAAATATTCCTTCCCTCTAAATCTCGCCGCCAGCTCTCCCAAATTACCTCCCAAGAATTTCACCTGTTCCGTCCCTTCCTCCTCAATCGTCCAATTCCTTTCTTTTATTCCTTCTCAATCAAATTCCACCCCAAATTAAGTTTCCTCCAGAATAATTGCCTTCCTTCCCCAAATTGTGTCCGCCCAAAATTCCTAGCTCTCCCGTCCAAGCCATTTCGTCCAGGCTCAAAAGAATTTCCGGCCCACAAAAATTCAGTCCCGGTTCAACTCCTCAGTAAGTTCCGGTCCAATGTACATCCAGTCCACTTGAATTATTCTATCCACCAATGCAAATTTCTTGCTTCATTTACCTGAAATATATAAAACATTTGGCACTTGATGGTAATGGTTTTATAACCATTCCAGGCTTAGTTGGACCTCAAACAAGTATTATAGGTCTCAAACATATCATGAAATAATCACATTAAGCACGCAAAATCAATATGTTTTCGACAATTGTCACTCCTCCTCCTCCTCCTCATCTTCCTCCTCTCCGTCATCACCGTCATCATAGTCATGATCGCATGGCACGCTCCATGTATCATATTCTTCCTCTCCATCCTGATCCTCACTGAGCTCAACATGTATCTCAGCACCCAAACAATAAGGATTTTGTGCCATAAAATTCCAAAGCTCATTCAAGCTATCATCATCCACAATAGGCATCGCATAATGAAATAAAACACCATTCTGCCATTCTGGAAGACGGTAAGTGAAACCTGTGATCACATCACTATCTTGTACTGCTTCGTCTCTACACCGTATTCTCGGAATTAGATTCTCACAAAGTTTGTGATATGTGACCCTGGATGGAACCGTCAACTGAAAACTACTACCACCAACGAATTTGACGCCCAAATTATTCTCTACTTTCTCCGATTTCCACCGAACGACTAGTTCAAATCTTCTAAAATCACTACAGAAAAACAAACTCACTAATTAAAACTAAACACAATCATAATAGCATTTGAATAATATAATTACAAAAATAAATGTTGTCTCTTACCTATTAGCCATTTTTGCAGCAGCAACCAGAGCTCTCCTCTACTTGGTCGATTTTTTTTGTGGTGTGAATAACTGAAACGAAATTGGCTGGTTTTATAGGGGGTAGCCAGCAATAAGCCAGCGGTGCCACCTTAGTTTTAGGCGCCAACGCCTGGGACAATTTCCCACCAACTCACCTATGCCTCACGCGGTGCCACCTGAGTCTTGGGCGCCGCCGCTGTCACATTAGAAAAACGATCCAAAAAGACAGCAAAAGTGGCAGCACCTAAGTCTCAGGTGGTCTCGCCGATTTTCTTCTCCAAAACACAATATCTGTGTCAATACTTTTTAATCCACCATATTAGTGATAAATTAAAAAAAAACAATATTTGTGTATTGTATAGACGTAGACCATTGTTATATTGAGGGATTCGAATGGGTTAATGAGGGCATTACAATACGTAGATGTAGACCATTATTAGATTGAGGGATTATAATAGGTTAATGAGCGCATTACAATCGTTGATTAGAATAAATGAAACTTTACATTTTTAGTAGTACCATTCCCAACAAGGAAAAAAAAATACACAATCACAACTTACAAATACTGAAAAATAGATAAAAACGAAGTAAAAAACTTGGTAAAAATCTTGTAAGATTGAACCAATGCACAATAATAATGTAGGAATATGAATATTCAATCACATTCTATGTTCAAACCATTGCCGAGAGATATTAAAAAAATTGAAATAAATTGACTTACAGTTACAAATAAAAATCAAGTCACTATAAGTCAGTGATTAACCCGCAAATTGTAGAGTAACAACTTCTCACACGAAATAAATTTAGCTGTACAAAATGAATATTGAAAGAACTGTTAAGAGAGAGAGGAGTGGGGGAAAAAACATTTCAGCAACCTGCGTAAATCTTGTTCTTGATACCCACGCAACCTAGCAGACCACTCTTCGACTGCACAATTTTCCTTCCCTCCGACGCACGTTTCTCCCCTTCCACGTCGCCGTTTCGACCCCTATTGAAGCTCAACTTCCTCATCAGTCTCTTCCTCCTCGAAAGCTTCGGCGGTCGGTCCTCTTCGTTCTTCTTCTCCTCTGCCTCCTCCGCCGCCGCCTCCGCCGCCTCCGCCACAGCTTCTTCCTCCGCCGCCGCCGGCGGCCTTCCCTTCATCGATACCACCAAATGCTTCATAATCTCCCTCTTGCTCCCGCACCCACACGACGCCGCATCCATAATCCCTCTCCCTCCCTCGTCTTCTTCCCGGTCCATTTTCACCATCCTCGTGTGTCTCGCGTACATAACCCCCTTGGGCTGCGGCGACTTCATTTGGGCCGGCGGGCTCGGCACCGGGCTTGGGCTTCGGGCCCTCGCCCTCGGCATGCTCTTCATCCACCTCAGACTCCGCTCAGCCTTCATCGCTTCCGGATCATTTAGACCATTCTTCATGGGCCCCGGCCCAGGCCCAACATGTCGCAGCGAGTCGGACCAGGCCCGTCTGTGACTCCCCGCCCTCGCGCCGCCGGATTTCTCCCCGACGTCCTTCCTCACAGTTTTCAAGGCGGCGACGAAAGGGTCGAAATCGTCGTTCCAGAGGCTCCGCCGGTGGACGTGGAAGTGCGACCTCCTACGCCGCGACGGAGTCAGCGACCTCGCCCCCTTTATCTCCCCGGACGAATTCCGAGCCGGCGGAGGCTTCAAATTCAGCGCCGCCGGAACCTGCTGCCGGCTCCGGTCGATCAGGAGGTGGGTTTCGGATCCCGTCTCGCAATCGGAATTGTCGACGAAGCTGAAGTCGTCGTAGAAGCGGCAGCTGATGGAGGAAGATGGCTCGAATTCGTCGACGGAATTGGTGTACACCCGCGCGCTGCGGACGCGTGGGGAGGCCAGGATGCTGCTGGATTTCATGTGAAGGTAACCCGGCGGCAAGTCTAGGGAGCGGAAGCTGTCGGCGAAAATCGAAGACTCGCAGGATTCCTCCGCCGTCGCGGTTCTGTAGCACGGGTGATTGTCGTCGCTGGATGAATCGGCTGACATTGCAATTTTGTTGGGTTTTCAAGCAAAATCAAATTCTGGGTTTCGGATTTTAGATGTAAATTTTGGGTTTTGAGATTGAGTTATTGGAAGAACGAACTGATCAAGCTATGTATATATATGACTAGCTCCGCCATTGGTGAAGTGAATGGGAGTTGCTTGAAGGGTCAAAACCGACGACAGATGGCGGGTGGAGAAGGAAGCCATAATTAGCACTATTATTACTAGTGATAATTTCGTTATCAATTGGCTTTGGTTTTTGTGAATATTTGTCCTCTTTTTTGTCTTGTTCATCTGCGTGGGTGACAAATGGAGAAGGATATGGTTTTTTGCCATTAAAATGAAGGTTAAAACTTAAAAGTCAAATGGTGAGTCATGAATTTTCCTAAATACGAGTCATGATTGGTAATTACTTGCTAATGACTAAGGGGGAAAAAGTGGTGAAATTGAGGAGATTTGGGTTGTCAAGTTTCAGTTTAGACGTCAAGGTGTTAGAGAAAGGGCATGACCAATACAAACGGTGAAGTAAGAAGAACGTGTTGATTTGTACATTGGTAGCTACTCACGTCAACACATGTTTTTTTTAGACTCAGTCAACACATGTTAGGACGACGTTAGTGTACGTGTTGAAATGATACTAGGGTTTCCATAATGGTCACATAGTCAGTTATGTCAAGTTGATTTTCGTAGTAATAATTGGCTCGCAAATAACTGTATTATTAATATTATATACTATGCTGATGAACTCAAGAACCCCGATACTTGAAACTGACTATTTGAATCTTGTTAGTGCTCTACATAATGTACAAGGAACCCGGATGGAGTTGGGAATAGTATGCCTCAATATCCGCCGTATCATGAACGAGATGGGGAATGGGAGATGGAAGCACTGCCCTCGAACAGCCAACATGGTTGCGCACCTGATGGCGTAGGAGGAAACAAGATGGAATGAGCGCATAGTTTGGTTAGAGAGAGTGAGACCTCCTGATTTTATTACTGACCAACTCAAACTGGATTCTGTAACGATGTTGGTTCATTAATAAAAGTCTATCCAGGTTTTCGATAAAAAAAAAGGAAACGATACAAGTTCTCACGGAACAACCTGGAGTTTACATTCTAGTTACTAATCAAATATAAGGGCTAAGTCACATTTTATGATTACTGAGATGGAAGTTTTGTGGAGACTCAGTTAAGTCGGCCTACCACCTCGCTGTTTTGATTGATAAACAGGATGGGCGGTGGAGACCCCTGGTTAGCTGGATGGATAAGCCAAGTTGGATACGTTTATGGAATGCTAATATTCCTCCTAAACTGAAAGTTTTCCTTTGGCAAGTGTTCTGTCGCATCCTTCCGACTACCGAAGCGTTGATCGAGAAGGGCGTTGTAGTTCAGCCTCATTGTCATGTCTGTTGGGTAGAGAAGGAGACGATCGAGCATCTGTTCTTCGATTGCCGGGTAGCTAGGGTCCTTTGGGATCAGGCTGGGTTGGAGCATCTTGGTCAAGGATTGTCATGCCATACCTTCCCCCTGTTCTTGAAAAAGTTGATTTTCATTATTAATCAGCCCCATTTGTTCATGGCAGTGGTTGCTGTCCTTTGGCGTATTTGGCGATCACGTAATTGGGTGGTCTTTGAAGGAAAACAATTCGGGATACCTGCTCTGCTGCGACAATATTATCAGCAATACCAAGAATGGGTGAGACTCCCGGTGGACCAGGCTGAGGGTTTGTATCCTTCTCAACCTCCTTCGGGGTATGGCCACTATGGTGCAGTCAGTTACCTGTATGTGGGATGGGGCAACCAAGCCTGGGTCTCATTCGGTGGGAGGGATTGTGCTTAAGGATCTCGCTGGGAATATTCTGTCGGCTCGTGGTGTGCAGTTTCCGGATCTCGATAACCCTTTGGTGGCTGAGGTGCTGGCTCTTCGGGAAGCAGTGACATGGTGTCTAGAGTTGGGCTTTCAGGATGCTTGTTTCCAAGGTGACGCTCAGATTATCATTGACAAAGTTACCAGGAGGGATGCGAATAATGTCCAGATTGGGGCGATATTGGAAGAGCTCATTGGGGTGTTTACAAGTCATAGTGCTCTTAAAGTTCGCTTTGTAGATCGGAATAACAATAGGGTAATCCATTTGGTGGCTAGAAAGGCCCTTGCTTTGTACCCGACTACAAGTCGTTATTTTGATTTCCAGACCTGGCTGGTATCCAGGATGTAATATCTTTTGATCCAATCAATATAAGTGATTATCTATTGTAAAAAAAAAAACGAAAGGATTCATGATTTACATATAGTAATACCTCACATTATTTTCCATACTTCATTACAATGTGGTTAGATGAAAATTTGTCTAATTCATCTCGTATTATCTCGTTTGTAGTTATGAAATTGAAAAAAACTATCATGTATTAAGCATCAACCCAGATAATAATTAAAAAAAATCCTCAATCCCTATTCACTACATATGTCACTTTTAGTTCCCATTTTATCAGAAGTGAAAAGGTTGCCTTCCGCTAGTTTCAGTTTTTTCAAATATGCGACATCGGTGAAAAATAAAGAAAGAACAAAAGATTTTCAAATTGATCGCTACAGTCACTGGGGTTTTTAGTTCCTCTGTTACTCTGCAAGAACCTTTGACAATGGAAATCCTCCAAATCGAACCCCGAGCTCTTGCATCCCCAAGCTCTCAAGTTCCATTAATGCGTTTCCCGACCGCTAAGCGCATCTTCTGCATAGCATTCTCGCCTGCCGTGATTCCGCCGTCTCCTTTTCCACTGAGCAGCAGAGGCTACTCTTCTTCTAGAGTTGTTGTACCTGCCAAGGCTGTCGTTGCCGCAGCTGAGGTTGCGCGGCTCAAGGAGAACTGGCTTGATTCCCTCACTTACCCTTTGCCTCGGTTAACTGAGGACGACGAACCGTCAACCTCTCCTGGCGGCGCGGACTCGTCGGCCGGTCCGGGTTCGAATTGGGTCGTGGGTATTGACCCGGACCTCTCTGGTGCTATTGCCCTGTTGAAAACTGAGGACTCTGTATGTTCCGCCCAGGTAATTTTCTCCAATTTCTGAACTGTTGCTGCTGAAAGCTCTGGGTTTTTCAACTTCCAAAGCTCCAATTTTTGTTAGGTTATTTAGGCCGGAGTGCATCAATTGGAGGTAGTAAAGATTGGAACTTTGTGACATTGCGTCAGTGTGCCCAAGCTTAGTCGTTGTTCTATCATGAGGGAAGTGTAGGGTTCTTGAGCTGACGAAAAACCATTGAATATGTTACTGTCTGCAGGTATTTGATTCTCCTAGCTTGAAAGTGGTGGTTGGCAAAAGAATCCGAAAGCGTTTAGATGTTAAGTCCATTGTTCAGTTGCTTCGTAGTTTTGATGCACCAGTTGGTAATGATCGTCCTCTCCCCGGCTTTTAGTCTCAAATTTTTAGTCATTTGCTGAAACTTGGGACCAGTTGAATGTAACTTGATTTCCTCACAGATGTGTTACTACTGCTTCACTTCCCAGTTCTGAGGAATAAGATTACTTTTCGTCAAGTCGTTAGTTTATTTCCAGCGGTGTAGTGTATTTGGGGGTAAGTTTATGATGTATCATTTGTGAATGATGGTATGGTATCAGCAGCTTCAACGAACTTGATAGTAAGAAACTAGTCTAGAATACCAGGGCCTTAGGCAACCAGAACCAGGTCAAGTCTATGCTTGCAGAAGAGAAGGCAACCACACACAAGTGATGTCCGGCATTAGTTGAACTGTTTAGCCTGAGTTTTTTGAATCTGGCTTGTTTGAATCTTGATGTTTAGCAAGTCTCTTCGCCAATATACTTGTCCTGTCAATCCATGAGGTGGAAAGAAAAATCTGTTTGTCCTTGTTCAGAAAGTTAGTCCCGATAATGTTGGTGCTAGTTTACTGCTATGTTGTCTTCTGGTTCATTGGAGATTTGAACAAATTTCATAATCATTGTTTGAGTTCCTCATTTCAGGAACTACTGCATACATAGAGCAATCAATTCCATATCCACAAGATGGGAAACAGGTTAGTATACAGACTCCTTTGTCACATGATATCCTTACGTAAATTATGTTTCCACTTCGTTTGTAGATCACTATTGAGTTGCCTATTAACTACATCTCTTGCTCTTTCAACTAGGCCCATTGTCTATAGTTCTAGAATAACCAACACTTGCCGCATTGTGACAATGGTTCATGTATCAACTTTGAGACTGTTGTTGCTTAGGCGTGCGAAAAACCCATGCTATTTGCTGTTTGGATGCCTTTTCTAATTCCAAATATCTTGTTTCTTGATGAAGGGCTGGTGGAGTGGTGGGTTTGGTTATGGATTGTGGATTGGAGTATTAGTTGCCTCTGGCTACTCGGTAGTTCCAGTACCATCTCTTGCATGGAAGAATGAATTCAAACTTACTGGGGAGACTGCAACAAAGGTGGGCTATTCTGCATTCCTCTTACCAACATTCTAGATGGCATCAGTGTACAGTGAATGAACTTCACTTGATTTTGATTCTGGATTTGACAGGATGAGAGTCGTAGGAGAGCATCAATGTTATTTCCGTCATTGAGTTCCTCGCTTACGAGGAAAAAAGATCATGGTACTTACGAGCCTCCTTCATTAGCATTACAGTTTTACATTGGAAAATGAAGACTCTTTACCCTTTCATGCCGAAGCCGGATCTGAAATGATGTAGCTAGACCAAGCTCAATTCTGATAACAGGGGTGCTGTTTTGAACGTGATTAATGAAACTTAATAAAATCCCCCCCTCCTTGATCGCTTTGTACATTTTGCAGGGAGAGCAGAGGCTTTGCTCATTGCTGCATATGGTAAAGGGCTGAAGATGAACTCAACAGCTACATCCAGTATGGATGAATCGCTATAGATAGAAAGTTGGATTGTATCCTCATGAGCTGCACAACAGATGGACTCACACTTGCTGCTTTGGTTACGATACTGTGTTTCGAAAGACATAGAGGAAGTTGGCAAGCACCTATGAAGAACTGAAACAGCGATAGCTTTTACATCATCTCTTAAGGGGTCCTTCAAGAATGGTATGAAAGAGTTTGGCATCTCCCACTTGATTCATTGTTCGAACTTCGAACCGCCCTCCATCTCGTGGCCACCGCGGACAACAATTACTACTTACTAGCCTTTTATAGTTGTAATTGCTGAAATCGTGGTGAATGATTTGGAATATACCCTTGGGCAGATTTGATTACGAGTCCATTGTCCAATTTCCTTGATTTCTCAAACTACTCTTGTTCTGCGGCATTCATATATCCAAGTGGTTCTGAAGAGGATCTATGATTCAACTCTCAAGTGAAGTGAAAACAAAAGGATACATGCATGGTAAAACTACCGGCAAGCAACTTGTTTTCAATCTTGATGTGTAGAAATGAATTTCTATGAAGCAATTTCAAAACATGAGAATCATCAAAATTTCGGAAGATGAACTTCCATCGAGGCCAACAATGGCATAATAGGCCTAAAAAAGTACCAGTGGCTGGCTCCCTCAAGTCCCTTAAGGACGTCCTGCTAGTTCATTCATCAGCCACAAGCAATCTCGATTTGTGCACATAATCTTCTGGAAACCTCCCAAGGTCTGCAAACTTGATATCTGTCCCCAAGCGAAGATAGAAAAACGAGATAGATTCATTGCTTCACTACTCAAGCGAAATGTCAAAGATGACTCCTTCATGGTTGCCTACAATGGATCGAGTACCAGTTACTTCCTTCACCTTCATTCCATGTTGCTCAGCTTGTTTAATTACTAATGAGTCCATCCTGCACCACACAACTATTACATGAGTGCCACATACAGAGGGAAACCCTTCTAGATAAGCCAACGTAACACATTAATAAGGGCCATGTAAGGCGGACTGTATGAAAGAGTTCAGTTCCATACGCTTTAGCTCGGGATACATAAGCCAGTATGAACTTGGTTTTGCCTCTTTGAAAGCGAAGCAACTGTTGCACAGTGTCAAAAAGCGGACAGATGCTTGACTGCTGAAAACGTTAACCCACAGTCAAGGATTGAAATTTGAATGCTTGGTTTTCTTTTCACAAACTTAAAAGCACACAATGAGATTGCAGCATGAATAAATGAATAGGAAAACGGAAAAGAGCACAGTCAAAAGGATATAGATATCGGCTCCGAGAATCAGATCGAAACCACCATTCGATTTTTGGAGAATTTCGCTTGCTCGATCCAAGTTCCCCCAGTCTAGTTTCGCAGCATGTAATTCTGCATTGCAGATGGTTCAGATGAAAATTTGAACAAGGAGAAAAACATAAAGTTGAAAACTTTTCCTCTTACCAGCACAAGGATAAGGATTCTCAGAGGACGACTGAATCTCTATGTTCTTATTAAGGATCTGAAAACAAACAACAACATTCTGTTAAAACAAAACAAAATCAAGGGAGCTGAAACACAGGCATTAAACAGGTTGACATGTATCTTGCAAGTTGCAACCTTGCCTTGAGAACTTCATCATTGTGGTCCGTTAACACGACTCTTGAACAGAATCTACTGCAAAGAATCCCAGTGACACCTGCACATCAGCATAGAAAATGAAAGAAACCTCCATGAGATCACCAGCAGGCAGAATAGTGCCTAACAGATTTTCCAAATAGAAGGATGAAAACTTGTTTGCTGTAAGTCTTACCCACACCAGATCCTAACTCAAGCACAGAACAACCCCGAAGCATCTCGGTATGATTAGAGAGATAATTGTTTAAGATTGTGGCACCAGGCCACACCAGTTGCCCTGTCAAATCAAAATCAGCTGTGACAAAGTATATGATTAGTTACATTATCATACGAGAAACAACAGCAATCAGCAATTACTGTAGATAACAAAAGAAAACCTGCAATAACTCAGTTGTGCCACAGCTAAAATGCTCATTACCAATGACTTGTGTCTCCTCATTCGAGGCAAGTAAAGAACATGTTGAAACATTTGCCATAACTATCTTTATGTGTTTACACCAGACCAGTTCCTACTCGTTTAGTTGGTAAAGTTGGTAACTTGGTGCTCTTTGACTACTCAAACAAACGTGCTCAATGAATTCCAGAGTTCCAATATATTTCTTATTCTCGCTGATTCGATGTCAAGTTTGCTAATTTCAGTTGAACCCAGTTTATATATATCAGCCATACACAGAAAACACAGCGTTCTAACAAGGGTGAAACTGAGGTTGAGGCCATTGATCATATGAGCATAGAAACATCAACTAGGGGGAAGGAGCCTTACTGGAAGCAGAGTGAAGGCAGAGTAGCTGAAGAACATGAGACCCAAATGTGAAAGTCGTCAATTGGTAACTGTATAAGGGAGGGAAGTTGGAGAAGTAGAAGAGAGCAATTTAGAGCAAAAAGGGGGAAGAAGAAGAAAAGGTAAACCTTAATTTGTAAATACTTACTCGTCATTGATAAAGAACGATTCATCCAAACAAACTATATCTTCTTCTTCTTCTTCACCTCCTCCTCCTCCTCCTCCTCGGTCTTTCGTCATTCTCGTTCAACCTTGTGTGCCTTTTTCCCTTTGCTTTTCTTCTTCCTTTCCCCCCGCTTCGCTTTGTTCTGCGGCTGCCTCGGCCTTCTTCCTCGTTTTATGCAATTTATCGTAATGGAATTTTATTTTCTGTAGGAACCCATATGGCAAGGGAAAGTCACAAAATGGTCACTAAACTATGAAACATTAGAAAATAACTCAACTATATGCATGAGAATGTGAGTGAGACATGTTTATCATGTTACAAAACACAATTTCGTAGTCATCCTATATGAATTTATCATTTGCATGATACATTAAATGATTCATCTTCATAAAAAAACTCTTACTATGATCTTCACATTAACGAACAAACTCGAGATCCCACCCATTTGATTCCATTTCCAATTGTACCATCTCAGAGAATCCAAGTTATTTCACTTAGGAACTTTCGCGGACGAAGGTTACCTATGACTAAGGTGAATGGACCACTTAGAGTAGTCGCTCAGCTCTCATCTTTACCAAAACAGAAAAGCATCGGTTATCCATTCACGTGAGTATTGTAAATAGCACTTTTCGTTGGAGTAATTTAGTTATGTTCAATTTTTTAGCATTTTCGTTATATATTATTTTGCAGTAGTGAGTTGACTAACAATTGTAGTCGACATAAAAGCTCTTCATTCTCTGTGTAGAACAATATGAACTCGTGTTTATATTGTGCCACATGCTGCCATTGAAGTGGATCATTCAAAATTTTAATTTTAAATTCTAACGATGGACATCAAACTCGAATCATTGTTATCGTCATAACAATTTAATTCGTAGGTGTAGTTGGCATTTCTGAAAATTTTGGACCATTTTACAAATGTGTTGAAGCATAAGGTGCTATAGAGATATTTGCCAAAATTTAACAACTAACCCGTTATTTCTGAGGGATCTGCAACTCGGAAGCCGCTGGATCGAAGTGGTCGTAGCAAGAGTCAACACAAAATCTCTTATCAAGTTTCTCACCAAAGAAGCTGAGCCGCCGGCGAGGGAAAAGCATACAGACGAGACGAGGTTACTGCCGTTGCCTGCGTGAACCAGACACTTCAAAATGGATGAACAAGAGTTCCGAGCCCGCCTTGAACTGTTCCCCGTCGTCCGTTCCTCCGATTACCATGTAATTTCCTGATTTCTCCTCCTCTTCCTTCTCCATTCGCTTCCAGTTCTCTGCTTTGTCTTGTCTGTGTCTTGAATTAGGGTTTCGCTACTTACTTCCCGAGCTTTTGAATGAATGGCGACGGGCGGTGGAAAGAGGAATCATGGTTCACCGGGATGTTCACCTGCAGTTTGATTGTTCTAGCTGTACGTACACAACTGATTTAGTTTTGAGATGTTATACCTCAGGTTGATTCAGACCCATCGAAGCAATCGACGTCCACACGGCGCCCACAGCTAAAAGAGAAGGTATTTACCACTGAATTAGCCCCTTGTTACGCTTTCTGATTGTGCTCGCTCTCGGATTCGTTTGCTTTGAACATAAAAGTATAGAGAGAACTGCTGTACTTTTGGATCAACGGCAGGAAGAATGGCTAGATACCCTGGAAGAGGAGCAAGGAGATGCTAAGGAATTAGGGGATCATGGTGTTGATCTTCGTGGTATGTTACTAAACTCACAATTCTTTTGTTCTTGATTGTGGAATAGTGATCATACTTCTAGAAAATCAGCTTCATTACTTCCTTTTGATTCATCATTCTTGGAGGGTGATTTAATTGTATAATTTCAAGCATCAAGTAATCATCTTTTTGTTATTCTTGTTATATTCCAACAGATCCGTTCTGGGAGAAGCTAAAGTTGGCTGCTGAGAAGAAGGTATGGTTCTTGGCATCTGATTTGCATCAAGATTCGATTGCTTCCTTTTTAAACTTGAAGTCGAATTCAAAACTTGATAATCATTGGGACAGCAACAGAACAGTTATTGGTTCTCTCCCCCCTGATAATGGTGATATAAAAGTTATCGGTTGAAACGGTGGAATCTATGATAGTAATTCGGGTGACAATATTGGACTCTTGTTTGCTTGGTGTGGATGACACGGAGATTATTTGCTGCATTGCTTCATTATGAAAGTTTAAGTGTCCTGATCACAGTTAACGAGCTGAACATGATAGGCGATAGCGACTAACTAGTTGTAATCTGGAGCAAATTCTGTTGTGCTACAATCTCTGTCCATGGACTTCAGCGATAGTCATTTAGCCTGCTTGTGACTTGCTATCGTTATGAGTACTTATCTGTGGTGTGACTGGCTACCCTGATGCTGGCTAGCGTGGGAGATGGGATTGATCAACAGTTACAATGTTTGTTCTGGGTTTTGATGCTTCTGTAACGAATATTCTGGTGTTGAACAGGTTGGTGCAGCAGAAGCTAAGAGATTCTGCAAGGCCTTTCAACAAGTTCACAAAAAACTTGTACGTAATTCCCAAGACCCCTCCTCGAATCCATAAATCCCATCTATCTTAGAAGCTGCCGTTTTTCAGTTAGCAGATGTGAGAAAGCATTTCTGAGTTCTGGTCTTCCTTGGTGCAGGTGTATGAAGAGCTGAGCTTGGATGCAGCACGAAGATACTTGAAGTCGTGATGATCTTTGCAATGTAGAAATCAAGTCTTCATTCCTCCTGTTGTGTGTGTAACATTGGTTTGAGTAGCTGTTGAACTATTCGGTTTGCTGCGAGGAGTTGGAGCAGTATCATGTTGTGCTTTATGACTAGATCTCAGGGGAAAAATAACATTGCAAAATTTCACACAACAGTATGAAATTATAGCGTTGGAGCTCTTTCGTCTATATATCGGTTTCTGGCCGTGTCCATTAAACCGTACCGTACCGGCGGTTCAACTTCAACCACGAAATACCAGTATCGGAGGCTAAACCGATATGCGGTATTTACCGGTATAACGGTTGAACTATGATTAAACCACGGTTTTACCATAAAATATCCTAACGCTGACTTTCCCGATACAGTCTCCGGTACGGTTTCATGGACCATGGTTTCTTGCCGTGGCTCCTCAACTCAATTGGTGTGGTCTTCTTCGTGTTCTTCGTGTAAAACTGCTAGTCTAGTCCGGCCCATCTAAGCGGGTCCACAAACATAATAAGCCCATCATTGGGCCCATCAAAACGTCTGACATGACAAATTTTGTTTTGCTTTTTTTTCATCCCCGGCGTAAGTTAGCGAGCATCTAGCCTTACTGACCGCAAGATTAGGCGGCGCCGGTTAGGGTTTAAGAAGGTTCTAGTCTTCCTCCTTCCAAAACCCTACCCTCTGCAATTCTTCTACACAGCAGTCTCACCCTCCATTTTAAAACCCATCTTCCCTGCACCGTCGCTGCTTGATACCGTCCGCAGGCCCGATCCCTTCCCTCCCCGCATCTCATACCTCTTCTCTCGTGCAAGTAAGCTTCCTGAAAATGGCGAAGCGGTTGATTCCGGCCTTGAATCGGATTTTGGTCGAGAAGATTGTTGCTCCTTCCAAAACAGCCGGCGGCATCCTTCTCCCGGAGAAAACCTCCAAGGTACCTATCAATCTTCTAGCTCGATTCCTTTCATCTTCTTCCGTTTGGTACTCTCTCGAACTTGGATGTTGGGAACATTTCCCATTTTGGGGACTTAGAAGCCATCTTAGTTCGTTCGAAATCGCCATTTGTGTCTCCTTGATATAAGAGTTGCTCATTGTCAGATCGTTCTTTTCAGTTTCCCAGATCTTAGCTTCGGTTTCGGGTGGTGGGTGATTGAGAATGTTTTAGTTTCCAGCTTAACTTATCGATAATTATATCAAACGGTCCCCTAATAGGAGTAGGAGGTGATGATTGTTGAATGAGAATCACTTTCAGACTGGGTATCTAGGTGGATATTGTTACAATCGTGGCTATGGATAGCTTCACTCTTTGTGCTTGCCTATGGTTTGATAATCCCTAAACTACGTTATCAAGCAGTGATTGCTGGTCTATTTTGATTATGTGTCTACCTATTCTAATCGTTGCCTGGCTGCAGCTGAACTCTGGCAAAGTAGTTGCTGTGGGTCCTGGACTTCGTGACAAGAATGGAAACCATATCCCTGTAGCTGTGAAGGAAGGAGACACCGTTCTTTTGCCCGACTATGGTGGCATGGAAGTGAAGCTTGCTGATAAAGAGTGAGTGCTCTAATTCCTTTGACATACTTGAGATTGTTTGGACATAGATGCTGCTATGTTATGCAATATGGCTTCTTTTTGGGTAGAACAATATACCCCAATGTTTCTCAATATATGTAGCTTTCATGCCTAAATTCTTTGGTAGAAATCTTCTTGGAAAACGTTGAGTAACCGTTGCTGTGTGTATCGCAGTACTATTTTCCTAGGATGCAATAAAGTGGGATCTTAAGATGGAGTTGGAAAGTTGCATTGTTTGCAGCCAGGAATTTGCTTGGTTTTTGTTGATTCTCTGTTTCTGTTGGGTTTTTCTTGCAACTGAACCTGTAAATCTGTATTCAATTAACTGTCTATATAGCCTCAGACTTTGAATTATCAGCTGACACCGTGCTTGTTTGGCATTTCGTCAATGTTTCAGGTATCATCTCTACCGGGACGAGGATATCCTTGGAACTCTTCACGAGTGATGCAATGCGCTGCATGGCATGCCTGATTGGTTCAACATTGGGAGGAACTGGGAGAGTTGTTTTTTTGAACTGTTGAGAGGAATGTAGATTTTACTTTCTTGCTGAGTCCTGGTGTTGTGCACCTTTTCAGTTGCATAGGTGAAAGGATTCTTCTGGTCTGAGGGAACATATGTTTTAAGAAACTCCCCAATTGTCTACCCGTAATGGAAAGACACTTTTAGCTTATAATCTTTGATGCCGTCTTTTGGGTTTCAGCCTTTTGCTGTCTTATGGTGTTTGAAGCAGAAAAGCTACAGAAGCACATTGTAGCAGTAGCACCTAGCATTACTGCGGCCAAATTTGCTGCAGTAGGTGATTTACAAAGAAAACGCTTTCCATAATAAGTTGTCATTAATCAGCTGAATAATGACAAGAAAGCCAGCAGCAGGTGAACTCTTGGGACTGACTTGTAACAAGCGGGCTGAATTTAGGAGGGGGCTGGTTCCTCTCACGACGCGAATTCTCCATGATTCACCAGGTGTGCATCTAAGGCATGGCACGGAAACAAATCAGTCTGAGTTTGACCTAATTTGGACGCGCATGGAGATCAGTTTGAGTCGGCTTGTTTAATGAAATTTTGGCTCGTGTTTCACTCCATATGAATTCATAGAGTGGGGGAATGTTGGTCCCTACGGGCTCCATCAGTATATTCCGCGCTAGGGGCTGCCTCACGGGGCAGTGGCGTAATAGGCGCTCCAGAATTCCTCCGTTCCATTCATTGGTGTCCGACTGACCGCGGTCATGTGGGCGCCATAAGCTTGGGCGCCTCAAATGCCCTGACTCGCTTTCCGTCTCCGCCTCTCTTTCCCTCTTCTTAGAAGTTGGGCTGGGCGTCATTCCTTCACCTCTCTTCAAGGCGTCAACCTCCCGCTGAAGCGCCTCGATCTCCTCGTCCTTATTTTCGATGATCCTAAACAGCTCTTTTTTGTGACCGAGGCACCTTCCGACCCTCGAAACATGCATCACTCTCCTCACCTTCGTCCCTCTCGGGCGTCAGCCCTCTCATCCGCCCAGACTGTTCTTCCGTAATTTCCTCTCTCTCTCTCCACTCATAGGTGCCTCCTCACTCATGATTCTTGGTTATATTCCCCTTCCTGACGCGCCAATTGTTTGAGCCTCAACACCTTGCCGACTCGCCCACGTTCCTTCTGTCTGGCGCCTACCTACACACACGAGCACAGAGGGGGGCGCCTGGGCCCGTTAGCCCTCTGACGATCAAGTCAGTGTCTTAGAGAGAGAAGTGCTCCTAGAGCAAGAGTTTAGTGAGAGAGTCCAACCTGTGTAAATGCTACCAACCGCCCCTATTTATACTCACCGAGTTCGAGGCTGATCTCCTCCACGTCATTGCCTCATTCAATGCCCTGTACCTTCTTTGTCAGATACCTCAACCACCTTGTCAGGCTTCTGACGCGTGTCAGGCCCCCGGGCGAGGGACCACTTGACAGTCTGGCCTCCCTTGGCTTTTAGTGTTTTGTCCTCATGCGCCCCTCACATTGCTTAGGCCTAGAGGGGGCTTCACAGACCCATTCGCGGGCCCTGCCCCCAATGTTGTTGCTTGGAGGCCCACTATTCGTCGGGCCTTAATTGTGGTACCCCAACAGGTAATATTGATTGATTAGATACTAATTAGATATACACTAGTTAAAATTATAAACTAATTAATGTTGTATCGATAAAGTAATAAGCATGAGATAGATTAATGATGAACAATTGACTATTATCCTTTTTCATTGTTAGGGATGGCAGTCAGCCCGCGGGCTTTGGGTATCCGCTAGGGCCCGCCCGTGTGGAATGGGCCGAAACCCGCGAGAGCGGTTTAGTTGGCGGAGTCGGGCAGACCCGCGGCCCGCGTGGCTCGGTGACGGGCTGGTGACGGATGCTGTGGTACCCGCCCCGTATCCGGTCCGGGAGCAAAACGACGACGAGCAAGCCTAGGTATAAAGAGCCTTTTTTCAGCTAGGGTTAGAGGAAACTCATTTCAGCCGCCGCCTTCCTCTTTCTTCCCCCATTTTTCTCTGTAGAAATCGCGAGAATCGCCGATTTCCAGCAAAAAATCCACTCGTTCCCGGCGATTTCTCCTCCTTTCTCTTCGATTCTTACTCGAAAATCGACTATCCCATGACAAGAAAGCCCATATCTTGCTGTTAACCAACACTACAACCACCTAAAATGTCTCGATCGATAGAAATCCCCTTCGACTCGTCAATCTCAATCCTGCATGCGAACGATTTCTTTCCCAGATGGCTAGATCGAGATAAGTATTCTTTTTTTTGTTACCTTAATTCACTTTTGCTTGTTGTAGATGTATAAATAGATGACGAATTCGTTATTATGTTCATCTGCAGTTCATCGAACTCATAGTCTACAAACCCTAGCCTTCCAAATTTCTGGATCATCCTTTCATTCTAACTCTAAGTAAGTTAATTCTACAATAGTTTGTTTGTTTGTTTATTATTGGTTCTTGCTTAATTCGGCAGAGACTCAGAAACCCTAACATTTCAAATATGCTCTTTTGTTCTTGCAGATTGTTGTTGGTTAGTCCCATCTAGCGACTGGTGCTTCTGCTTCAACGTGCTGTCTGCTGAGGTAAGTAAACAATAACTCACCTTAATAACTAAGATCAAATCATCGAAATGTTAAACTGCTAATGAAACTCGAAACCCATTTCACTTAAATTATGCTACTGAATCATTAGTAATGACTAAACCTGAACCAGTAATGACAAATTGCATTCTGCTTTGTGTTTTTGCAGAAAACTCTTTTCTGTTCAGGAATCAAATCAAGCAGCTAGTTCATAAATTGCATTCTGCTTAGGTAATTCGTGACCCTAACTTGTTGTTGGTTGTTCGTACCTAAACCTGAACTAGAAACACTAATTTTCCTGATTTTGTGTTTTTTGCAGATTTCTCATTTCTGTAATCTGTTCAGGAATCTCAGAAAGCAGCTGGTGCTGGAACTACAGTCTGCTTAGGTAAGTCCTCGAACCTTGGTTGTTGTTGGTAGCTAAACCTAAACCTGTTCAATTGATAATGCTAAACCTAAACATGTTTTAAATTGATAGTAAGTTCATTAGTGTTAGCAGCTAAACTGCTAATATGCTGAATGCTAATCCGTAATCTGAAAAAGGGTAATAGGTAATCTGCTAGTCTGTTGTAAGTAATGCTACTCGAATCAAGCAAACTTTTAATATGTAATCCTAAACTACTTGAATCAAGTAATGAAGTAAACTTCTCAATACATAATCTGCTAATCTGAATTGAATTATGAGAACACAACTGAACAATGTACATCTCTCTAAAACATTTTTTTTATTTCTTTCTCTTAAACAGATGGAACCCCAACACGTTGAGAATGCACCTGCTAATGATGTTGTTGCCCCTCCTCCTGGTAATCCTAATAATGTTGAGGAAGATGTTCTTCCTCAACATCCCTTAGGTGCTAGTAGGTCATTAAAATCAGATGTCTGGCCTCACTTCACTAGGATGATGGTTTCTGGGGTTTTGAAAGCTAAATGCAACTACTGTAAAAAGATCTTGGCTGGGAAATCTAGTAATGGTACTTCACATCTTAGGACTCATAGGAACAAATGTGTTCATAAGAAAATACACGATGGGAGTCAAAGAGTTCTTGGTGCTAACTATAGTGCCAATGGGACAGCTGATATGAGTACAACTCAGTTTAGTAGTGAGGTGTCTAGAAAGGAGCTCTGCACCATGATCTTGGTGCATGAGTATCCCCTTTCTATTGTTGAGCACCTTTACTTCAAACGATTTTGTTGCACCTTAAACCCTCTCTTCAAAGTCCCAGCCAGAAATACCATAAAAAAGGACATAGTCGCTATTTATGGGTTAGAGAGGTCTAAGTTTCAAAAGGTCATTGATGAAAACAAAGGGAGGATAGCTGTCACCACTGACATGTGGACTGCCACAAACCAAAAAAGGGCCTACATGGCTGTTACCGGCCACTATATCGATAACTCTTGGAATCTGAGAAGCCATCTTTTGATGTTTGGTTACCTCCCTGCCCCACACACTAGTGAGAGGTTGGCTGTAAAGCTAGCTCAATGCCTCCAATCGTGGAATATTGATAGTAAATTGTCAACAATAACACTTGACAATTGTACTACCAATGATTCAATGATCAACATAGTTAAAAAAAGGCTGCTTTTGTCTAATCTAATTAGGGATGGATCACTTCTCCATATGAGGTGCTCTGCTCACATCCTTAATTTGATTGTGAGGGATGGTCTTGATGTTCTGAAAGATGGAATAGATCAAATAAGGGAAAGTGTGGTTTTCTGGACATGCACACCTAGGAGGGTGGAGTATTTTCATGCTACTGCTCAACAACTTAAACTGGCTGTTTCTAAGAAATTGGTCTTAGATTGTCCCACTCGCTGGAATTCCACCTACGAGATGCTTTCTAGTGCTATTCCGTATAAGGATGTGTTTTCTTTATTGAAAATAAGAGAACCTCATTATGACTATCTGCCTACTAATGAGCAGTGGGAGTTTGCTGCTATTTTGGTAGAGAAACTTGATGTTTTCAAGGACATAACTATGATCTTTTCTGGTTCAAACTACCCAACAGCGAATCAGTTTTTTCCTAAAGTGTGTGACTTGAGGTTACGATTGTTGGAATGGTTAAGTGACCCTAATCTGATGATTGTCTCTATGGCTGAGAAAATGTGGACTAAGTTTGCCAAATATTGGGATGATATTCACTTGTTGTTGGCCGTTGCTGTTGTGTTGGATCCACGTTATAAGTTGGAAATTGTTGGGTACTATGCTGGTAAATTCGGTATTACTAGTACCGATCTTGTTTCTGAAAGGGTCAGATCTGTACTTGCTGACTTGGTTGTTGAATACCAAAGGAAATCATCCAAAAACTCGGCTGTTCCTTCTAGTTTGAATGCTTGTTCTTCGGCCACTGATCTGGATTTTGATCTATATGTGAGCCAAAGAAAGAAAACTCGAACAACTGTGGTTACTACCGAGTTAGATCATATCTAGCTGAGTATGTTCATCCTAGAACACCGGACTTCGATTTGTTGGGTTGGTGGAGATTCAATGGTGCCAAGTATCCCATTTTGCAAGAAATTGCAAGGGATTTACTTGCTGTACCTATTACGAGTGTTGCATCTGAATCTGCATTTAGTTCTGGTGGGAGACTGCTTGATCCCCATCGGAGCAGACTTGATCCTATGACAGTGGAAGCCATGATGATGCTAAGGACTTGGATTCAGGACGATAACAAAGGTATTCTGCTTGTTTAATTCCTGCCATGGTTTAAATTTCTTTAATTCTTTACAAGTCAACTAATTCCTCCATTCTTTTGTAGTGACTGCCTCAGACGTGAAAGCACTGGAGGGGGTGTTCTCGGCTATGGCAATGGAGGATGCCACGGTGGAAGAGTGCATAGGTAAGTCCTTGTATGGATTTGATTGGTTTATTAACTTAGGTTTCTGTTCTTTACTAAATACATTGCTTTGTAACAGATGGAGCTGGAACTCAGGGGGAGCAGAGAGGAGATGAAGATGTTGCTGCTGAGGTCAACCTGCTGGACTAGCTCATGGTTGGTGTTTTAACTTTTGAGCTCTAAGTTTCCTATACGAAAAATGCATCAGTATCAAGTGTTGAATGTTTAATGAAACTGTCCATTGCAGATTTTGTCCATGCTGGGCTGCTGGGTTGCTGCTGGGTTGATGTTGGGTTGCTGCTGGGCTGATATGGGTCTGGCGCCTTGAAGAATGATTGTTGCTGGCTTGCTGGTTGCTGCTTATTTATTTTTGGCTTTTAGATTGTGTTCTGTGGTATTTTAAGGTTGCTGCTTGCTGCTTGAAGAATGATGTTGCTGGTTGCTGCTTATTTATTCAGACTTTAAGACTTTAGTTCTTAGTTTTCACAAGTTCTGTTCTGTGATATTTTAATTTTAAGGTTAGAATCCTCTATTTCCAGACAGGTTTTGGGGTTTGCAATTCGTGAATAATGCTGGAATAGTGCTGGTTTTGGGGTTTCCAGACAGGTTTATAGTGGAATGCATTATGTTTTTGTTTTTCCTTCATATTTGAGTTCATTTATTATATACAGGTTTAGGTTAGTTGATGATTTTTTGCTGTGTTTCATTAGGTGTTGGCGGGCAGCCCCTTACCCGCGGGCTAACCGATGTCCGACTGGGTTTGGGCTTGGTCTCGATTTTTTGCCCATTTAGCTTAGTGGGTCGGGCACGGGTACAACCCGCGGGCAGGAATGGTGGGCAACGGATATAGGGTATCCGCACCGTATCCGGCCCATTGCCATCCCTATTCATTGTGAAATTAATATGTATTATATATGACAAGAGGGGTATTTAATTTGAAAACTTATTTTCGGGTCATACAAATATATTAACCCTTCTAAATATTCAATCCCCAAGCCAAACTTTAAATAAGTTCATCATTAATTAGTCTCATGCTTATGTACTTTATCGATAAAACATTAATTAGTTTATAATTTTAACTAGTGTATATCATCTTATTTATTACTAATTAGTATCTAATCAATCTATATTACCTAATTTCTCTTTGAAATTATAAACAAAATATATCTGCTAACGTATTCAACTTCTTAAACATCACATACGGTGATTTACATAATCTAACAAACATATTAATTATTAGCAAGGCAACTAAAAAGTTATAGATCGATATGCTCATAAGTCACTAGTTAAGGTGACTCGCTAGCCACACTGTCGAGCCACCTCACAAATTGAGTCCAACAAGCCACTGAGTTGAGCTAGCTCGCCAGTTGAACCAGGATTAGGTTTAACGAGCCGAGTCTCGAACGAGTTTTTTCCAAGCCGAAGAGAAGCTCGACTCATTTTCAGCTCTAGTCACAAAGTAAGCTATCGAGGTCACCTCAAGCATTGTGGGAATTGAAGAGAGACCGTAGAACGAAAAATTACAAGGATAAAGATGAAAGTCAACTGCTAGCCACGTCAGTCACGTCTAGGCGTAGCTCAGGACGACAATTACCTTATGACTTAGTCCAGCTCATGACTATAAATAGGAGGAATAGCCAAAATCATAAAGCATCATACTTAACAAATTTTTACTTTGCTCTTCTCAAATTACTTATGGATGTATCTTCCAAAACTCTCTCTAACTCTCCATAGAAGTAACTCAACGTAGTCTCTCTCGGAAACCATTAAAAAAAACGAAGACCCTCATTGAAATTTGGTTGAAAGAGTTGTGAATCGTGTCTTAATATTGTTATTCAAAAATTCAAGATTACATGTAATTCAATTCAACTAAAATTCTTTCGCAAAAGAATACTATCCAAACTAACACATATCAACACGAGAGTATGCAAAAAAAAAAAAATCCAAAACATTTTAGTATAATAATAAAACTATGAATATCAAATCCACCCCATTGCCATCCACATATCCCTCGCTAAGGATGAGGTGCTCAAGTGTGTTAGATGGACTTTTCTAATTCATGTAATAAGAATTAATGGTCCCTTATTTGTGGCTGGGTCAATATATAGCAACCATTAGTTAGGTTTGAATACACCTAACTTCCACCGGATAGCAACATTATTAAGTGTGAAAAAAAAGGTAACTTCAATGCTTGAAGGCTTGATTACTTACCATAAACTATCCATCAAGTAACTCAACAGAACTTAACAAAAAAACATTAAGAAAAAAGTAACTTAATAGAACTTTCACATTCTTCTACTTTTATATTCTTTTGAAGGAGCACATTTTTCTCTTTTTAATTATTGTATTAGAGAAAATCTTATGATTAGCTATAATAACACCAAAAGTAACAACAACCCAAGTGAAAACTGATGACTAGTTAATGAATCATTAGTGGTTAGTTACGATTTTACAATAACAACGGTAATTGATTTAAAAAAATTATTTTTATGGTACAAACTGAACTTTTACCTTAAACGTTACGGTACAAATTTAGTTTGTACAATTTATTTATGGCACAAACTGAATTTGTACCATGCAAACTGAAACATGTATCGTAACATAAATATATAAATTCTTTCATAATACAAACTGAACTTATAATTTTAACATGATAATACAAATTCATACCTCAAAACCATGGTCCATGAAACCGTACCGGAGATCGTACCGGAAAAGTCAGCGATAAGGTATTTTATGACAAAACCGTGGTTTAACCGTAGTTCAACCGTTAATACCGTTAAATACCGCCTATCGGTTTAGCCTCCGATACTGGTATTTTGTGGTTGAACCGTCGGTATTAATGGACCATGCTCAAAACACATGTATTTTAGAGCACAATATAAAAGATCTAATTACCTTCATGGAAACAGTGAGTGAACAAACAACCCACCAAAAAGTGGAAAACAATGAAGCAGCCATAAATATATACACTACTGTCAGCTGGTTTCAACCCAACATTTAACACCACCACCAACAACAACAACCTCCCACACACATCAATGCCCACCCAAATTTCATCATCATTGTTTATTACTCTTATCTTTCCATGCACCATTCACCTTCTTTCTGTTCTCTTATTTCCAAGAGAAATCAAACATTACAATAACATCCCCACATTGAATTCTGCTGCAATAATCCCCAGAAAAAGGAGACAGTAGAGGGGAAATATACAACATTCAAAATTTTGTATATGCAATTCCTGACAAGCGTCAATACAAAGTCAAGCAACAATATCATTACCAATCAAAGAAAGAAAGAAAAAAAAAAAAAGAGAGCATGGTGGTGGTGGGAAATAAACAAATGAAAGAAGGAAGAAAAAACTCAATTCTCATGGCAGCTTCATCTTCTTCTTCATTATATGTGGACAAAAATAGATGAACCCAGTAGAAACAAAATTACAAAAAAAAGAAGGAAATACAACAAAATGAAAGAAAAAAAAAGCTCTTCCTTGGCTAATTGAGCTAATAGCTAGTTACTACTCGCAGTAACTTTTTATTTATCTATTGTGTAAAGGGTTTGGACCTGTGTAGATTTTCCTCTTCTCATCGTCGAAAACGCCACCAACATTGCTGACCACACTTCCCTCTTCACTGCTACTAACTTCGTTGCTGTGCCCTCCAACTCCAAGTTCTTGATGATCATTCTTATGAGCCGAAGAAGAGGCAGGAAGAGGAAGAGGAGGGGAAAATGCAGGGGAAGGAGGAGAAGCAACAGCTATAGCAGCAAACCTTCTGGAAGAAGAGGAAGAAGGAGTTGGTTTCTGTAAGAAGAGAAGCAGCAGTACTACCAAAATGGGCCTTCTCACTACTACTACACCCATACTATAGTTCTTGATCTGCCTGATTTCAAGAAACAACGTTGTTGGTGTACTACTCGGACACAGAAAAAAGGAAACCATGCACCTTCCACAACAAGAAGGAGAAGAAGAAGAATGGTGATGAGGGTTTTGGAGGCAAAAGTGGGGAAGTTTTCTCCTTGTTGGGTCTGGTGTGGAAAGGCAAAGATCATATCAATGTAATGGAAATTAAGAGGGGGAATGGGGTACCCTTTTGGCTTCCAGGAAAAGGGATGGTAATGGGAAAGGAAGATAGGAATTGGGGAAGGAGAAGGAGAAGGTTAGCTGGGGGGGGAATGAGAAGGGGAACTGGTGTACTGTGGCCTGTGGGTTTAATGTCTTTCTGCTGTGACTTCCTTCTGTGGTCTCTTTTTGGGGCCTTTTTGGGGTTTATGGTTGTTTATTGAGTGGGGAGAAAAACAGGACAGATGAGAGAAAAAGGGGTATAGGGTGAGGTTTGGTTTCAAAGGTGTAGTAGAAAAATGGAATAAAGAAGAGAGATTTGGGAGTTTGAGCTGCTAAAAGCTTCTGGAAATGGAGGAGGGGGAGAGTCAATGAAGGAGAGAGGGTCAAACAATAACAAGACATGCATAGGGTTTAGTGCTTCTCACTGCATGGCTAATTAATACATGAAACAGAGAAGAGACAGAGGAGGAGAGGTTAATGGGTTATTTAGTTTTGGACACTGAAAATTTTCAGAGCCTTTTTCTTTCTTTGTTATGAGCCAAAAAAAGGGTGCTCTGATCCTCTTCCAACCACTCACAGGCTCTCCTTATGAACCTGCAGAAAAGAGGGAGTTCTGTTTTGCCTTTCCTCCTCTTGCTTCTTTTGGACCCTTTGCCTTCCCTTTTCCTCTCTTACTGTATTTTAACAAAGAAAAGATGTGGCTTTCCTTTTCCTGTATGTGTTTAGGTATACTATAAAGAACACACATGCATTAGTAAGATCTGAATAGCATTTGCCGACAAAGGGAACCTAATCTATTAGAACAACACGGAGAGAAAAAAATATCAAGAGACTAGAGAGTGTTCTAAATATAATTTTCGAAAAAAGTAGTATAAAATATAGTAGACAAGTATCGATCTTTTTAGAAAGAATTTTTCGAGAGTCCTATAAAATATTATCATTTGAGATTTAGCAAGTGTATATTACACCTCTAAAATTAATATTGAGTGTCTCTATGAGTAGACCACCATCGCTCTCACGAAGTCTCTGGTTGCAATTGATAGTGATTTAACTGGTAGATAGAGTTATCAGTGCCCACACGAATTCATCTTCTGGGTGAAGTTTCAACGAATCCAAGATTGTTGTCTCTATAAGGTTTTATAGTCACACCCCCTGAAAACGAGTTCATTCTTATGTTTTCATAAGATCAAACATGTAATTCAATCAACGAGAAAATTATCGTGAACTAAGAAATGTCACAATGGAAACTAAAGTGCTCCAAACTCGAGAACAAGAAGAAAATATTGCATGCAAGAAGAAGAACGGAAAAAAGGCATGGCGTCGTAATTTTTCATAAACCAAATGATTTCAATAACTCGAGTTGTTAGGAGAGACACATGTATGGATCTTAACTACACGATAATTTTTCATAAATCAACTTGCCCTCTCAAACAAAACTCAACTCGTGGACTTGAAATTTGCCCAGGCCCCCATACCATGTGCTTGAAGACAACTATTAATATTGGGGTAGTTAAAAGTTGAAGGTGTGATGTAAAGTACAAACCAACTCTAATATCATATTATAAGCCACATCTATTGATTGGAAAATACCCATTACGAATTTAATCACTTGATGCAAATTCTACTACAAATTTGTTAATTTCTCAGTCTTTGCTACCACGTAGGAAATAATCTATCATGGGTATTGTCGATACCCTAGTAAAGTTCAAATATACATGACATGGGGTATACATAGATGGATAATCATTGCATATCTAACTCTAATCATGAATACAAAGAAAATTAAGTATACACAAGTGGATTAATTATTCTAATCACTATTATAATAAGTGAAGAACGTTACAAGGCATTGAATAGGTTTTGGATTTACCTGCTTGCTTTCTCGGGGAACAGATCTCTGTTTTCCCGGATTACAGAGCATCCATGGAAGCATCGATCGACGTAGAGTGTAGTTTGGTCACTCCGTCCATGGAATCTTTAGCTTTGTTTATTCATTCAAAGACATTCATTGTTAATTGGACACGAAATCTTCAATCCGGCCTTGAATGAGTGAAATCATTAGGGTTTTTTTGTTTTGATGAAACGAAGAAACAACAAACCTTCCTTGAGACAATTAATGGAGAAGATCCCATCCATAGTTTATGTAATGTAATATGTGTTCCTTTGGGTTTTGGGATTATGAGAGTCCCAAAGCTTATTTCCATGTTCCACACCGTCGACATAGGGGGTGAGTTTTAAGGTGGAGCATTGAATGCCATACTTAGTTTGGTAGTGGCAACATGTGCTAGGTAGCTAGCTAGTCTTCCACACATTAAAATATCAACATACTTGGTTGATGGCTTTCAAATTTTCGAAAAGATCTTAGTGTGGACGAATTAGTAGTGTTGTTCTTGTTTCTTTAATATTCTCGATGGTTCATATACCTGCCATGTTTTTACATAAAATGTAGCGAATACCGTTAGTTCTACTTCTATCTTCTAGATTCAAGAGATGCCTTCATTTCTTCTTTTGGAGGTGAAACTAGTATTGGAGATGGATGTATGAGACTTGATTTACATTTTGCTCGAGAAATGGTATCTCGAAAGGTGGTTTCGTAACCGGTTTCAGTCATGGTTCTTCGCCTCATTTGATAGGTAGATGATTCATGTTCTTCATCCATCTACTTCTTATCATTCTGAAAAATGTTTGTATTTACATTGAGAAATTTACATAACTCGTTACGTTATTGTTTTGACAAATTCTCTTACTCAACAGGATCACGAATGTCCTTTTTTATTGCTAATCATATATCATAAGTTGTTTCTATTTTGTATTGCCTAATGACTTTTGATGTGCACGTAATATTTACATGACTCGACTAAACGCATGTTACGAATGTAAAAGTTGAATAAACAATAATGTATTCAGGCTCGTTGCCTCCCGTTCTTTGTATATACTTGCAAACACTATTCTCTTTAAATCGGTGGAGTTTTTATTTAGGAGGAATGTTGTTAATGTTTGATAAAAAAATATCTTAACCATCCAATTAATAGTACTAAATAGTGAAATAATAATCAAGTAGAGTCTTCAAAAGGTTGCATGAGAGGATCCCCGTGTGTACTAATCAAAATCTTCCAGTTGTATCTTCTCCAATGATGTAATGTAAACTCGTTTGATGATCTTTTCTCTTTATTCTTGCTTTCCCTAAAAAATCTAATTAGTTTTTCTATGGAAATATTGACCAAGGATGTATATCTAGAAGAAATATGGCCTAGTAATTGTATAGTGACACATACATAAATGAACTTTTCTTTATTTATCAAATATGGTATTTGGATCTTACTTTTATTGTCTAATCAAATTTGTACCCGGTTGTATTAATACGAGGCTTTTGTGAAGGCTTCGAACAACACACGTACGGGTTTCGTTCAAAATGTTGAATATCATACTAAATTACTAATTTGGAGTATTCTGTCTTGACAAAGTGGTGTCAGAGCCTCAATTGATAGTTCGAATCTAGGGGGATGGACTGCAATTGTGTGGACCATCATTGCCTGACCTCGCGATTAAAGAGTTTTCATTTGGTCAATCAATTGGAAATCTACATATGGTTCCTAGTGTCGAGATGTATGGCGATGAAAGATGGTTAATGAATCAAATGGATAATCACTGGAGGGGAGGCCACAAAGCTCGTGCTCCTTGAGTTGAGGAGAGGATTGTTAAGGTACAATCCAAGTACCACATTAGAAGAAAGAGTAAGGAAAAGTTTGCTTGTATATAAGTGTCTACCTAGCTCTATTAGTACGATGTGTTTTAGAAATTACCCACAAAATTTGTATGAGCTTGGCTCAAAGCTCGCAGTGCGTATAAATGTGGAGTATCCGGTTCAACGAGCATCGATTGAGAGTTCGGATATGGAGTCGTAGACTATAGTTGTGTGGACCGGCATTGTCTGACCTCACAATTGCAAGCATAACAAATGGACGTCGAAAAAAATGAAAGAAAAGTTTTCTTAGATACAAGCATCCACCTAGTTCTATTACTACGATAATTTTTTAAAAGACGTCTAAAAGTACATCTATCCAAACTTGATTCGTATTAAAAAAAATATCGTACTAATTTGGAGTGTGGCCATATTTACATGGTAGAAATGGTAAGTAAGCTATAGCTTGACAAAGTGGTGTGAAAAAAGATAAGAGAGGTGTGTATCATAAGCCACTCTAAAGCAAACCACTACATGTGAGTGAGTGTGTGTGTGTGTGGTTCCATAACAATGATTCTCCCTAGGGCAAAAGAAAAGAGGAAATCATCCTCATAATCATCATTCATTTCATCCCCCCGTCAAAGTTGATGAAGCTCTCCAACAGAAGAAGCTGTGCGAGTGAGGGAGGGTGGCACTGAGTGCAGAGTAAGCAAAAAGGGGAATTGAGGGTCTTGAGTTTTGACTGAATTCAGCAGCTAGCTAGCTAGCAGCAACAACAAAACCAAGCTACTACACCAGGGAGAAGGAAAATTTCCATCATGGCAATGAGAATGATAACCAGCAAAAAGAAGAGGGAGACCAGAGTGGGTATTGAGTAGGCAGGTGGCATCATTAGGGCATAGAAAGCAAAGATCTATCACCATCTCCTCTCCCATCTCTGTATTTCGGAGCAATGTAGACAAAGGCGATTTTGACTACATTAGTTGGGGTACGTAGAAACATTTTGATGACCTAAAACAGTAGGTTTTTAATCTTTAAAGCGCGACTTTGGTTACATTGCTGGTAGGCATGTGAATTTTGCTGGCAACAAATCAACTTTTAAGTACGCGCTCGTATGATCATATTGCAAAAGTTGGTATCATATCAACATGATCATAGTTCCGAAAATAATAGTACTTGCATCATTCTTACGACAAAGCGTTGTAAGTTTGTACTAGTAGGAACGGATCACCAATGCGCAACTTCAAGCGTTAAATATCGCATAAAACTACAATCAAACAACATTAACCCTTTTTTCTTCCTTCCTTCCTTTTGGGTTTTGGTTTAAACCAGTCAAAGTCCCTTTTGGTGATCTACCATCATTGGGATCTCAACTACTCCCATTTCCGAGCCCAGCAAAAGAAAAGGCTACCTTGTTTTCTTCAGACAACATCAATGGCTTCCCCTCCCCAGCTCTCTCTCTATGTTCATTATCATTCGATTCACAAAACATTCTTTCTTCCCCGTGTAGGGATGATGATTGATGAGCGAGTTGGGGCCTCAGATGTGACCATTTGTGGTGTGACTCTTTACTTTCACTTGGAAAAAGACAGTGTGACGACTAAACAAACATTAATTAAAGCTCAAGTTAATTAAAGTCCAACCCTAATCAAGTATAATTTTCTTTCTGCTTAATCTCCCTTTCCACAGTCAAGACAGCTCAACCACCATCACTAGTTACTTCCAATAAACTTCATGTAACCGCAAATCGGTTGAATGAAGCGATGGCAAATCGTATACATATAATAATCATAATTAGGAATGATAATTCCATTTGGGTTCACATAATCTGTCGTTTATTTTCTTCTTCACTCACGTATGGTTGTAAGATAAGAGAGCAAGCATACATTTCAAGAACCGTGGAAGACAGCCGTGGTGCTTGCTGGGCTTTCAGATTTTGGAGGCATCAGCGACAGCTCGGCTCAAGGCAACGGCTGCCTTGGACACCGGTGCACGACCTAATTGCTTGCTGATGAAGTCACCCGCGGCAAGCAGCTTTGCCAGGTCGACGTTCGTCTTCACCCCAAGGCCGTTGAGCATGTACACGACATCTTCTGTTGCGACATTTCCCGTTGCTCCCTTGGCATATGGGCACCCGCCTAACCCAGCTACCGAGGAGTCCACCGTGCTAATCCCCATCTGTAGAGATAAGCAAATGAGAAGTTATCTAGGTGCAAACAGTGGGTGGAGTGGAAGCGCCACTTAACAGCTAAATCAAACATACTTATCTGATCAAACTATTTCTAGATCAACTATTCGCCCTGAATGCCACAAAGTAAGAGTTGCCTGAAAGCCAAGTGACTGATAGATTCCGGATCCAACTTCATACCTGGAGAGATACTAAAATGTTTGGAAGAGATTGGCCATAAGTATCGTGGAAGTGGACAGCAAGCTTCTCAACAGGAACAACTGCCATCACAGCTTCAAGCATGGGCACAACGGTTCCTGATAAGAGCACTCAAAACATTAAGGCAACATTACAGGAAACACTGATTCACACTAGGGCAACACCAGTGGTGAATCATTGGAATGCTATTCCTGCCAGAATGATCTAAGATAGAGGGAGGTTTAAAGCATTACCAGGTGTACCAACACCAATTGTATCTCCCAGGGAAATTTCATAGCAACCCATGTCATGAAGTGCTTTTGCCACAAAAGCTACTTTTGCAGGGGAAATCGGTCCTTCTACTGGACATCCAACAACACATGAGACGTATCTGTAAAATTCAGAAAGCAACTGAGTTCCCGTAGAAGTTGGTCAGCAAAACACGACCCAGAGCGCACCAGCTATGGACAGGTGGAGACTAATATCCAACAGATTAAGCAATTAAGATGCCGCCAACAAGGATGCAACGTTTTCGGAATTGACTTGTAACCAGTCAAATCCATCTCTCATGTCTCACCCTTTTTGTCAGTTTCAGATTTATTTGATCAGAAGATAAAATGGGAAAATAGATGGAACATCTAGCTCAGATCAACTAAGAACAGGAATTTATATGAATCATGGATGAACACACCTAAAGATTAGGATACTAAAGATTACTACCAAAAATGTGCTTTCTGGAATCCTTTTCTCTTTTTCTTTTGTGCACCTTCATCGTTAACAATCTCGAAAGAAATTGACATCCAAGCACAGACATGGACCACCCTATATTTGATCAGTTGATCTCCTGAATGGATTATGTGAAGATTGACAAGATTCTAAAATGGGAAACAACTAAACATACCCACGAACAGGGATAGAGTGTTCTTTCGCCGCTTGAGTAACAACACGATAGCGAGCAATGCTTTCTTCAATGCTACAGTTAATGTTGGACTTTGAGAAGGATTCAGAAGCTGATGCGAATACTGCTACTTCCTTAGCCCCGGCTGCAACGGCAGCTTCAAATCCCTGAAAGTTCACACAACCATCAGAAGATTCAATAGGCAACCATGATGAAATCAGCTGCACTGTTGTAGAGAAACTCACCTTTAAGTTAGGTGTCAGGACAGGTAATTTGGAGCCCTCCAAACTATGAACTGCTTTCATTACGTCTCTTGCATCTGCAAGCTATTAGAAGATTGAACAGCAGGAGAATGAGAAGCTAAGTTAATTACCACAGTAACATAATGCCTTTTGATTTAAGAATTGATTAGTAACAAACACAAAAACAAAGCACAATGCAGGCTCCTTATACCTACAGACAAGCCCCACGAGAATGGAATGGGGAGAAATCTTAGAATTCAGAAATTATAGTTCTATATTTATATACTTTAACATGCACACATACAAAGGAAACACTACAAATGCCGAGAAGTGTAATAGTTTCAAATTCTAATGGATAAAAGTTGAGGCGACCAGCCGACCCAAATCCAACTTGCTCTCCTAAGAAAAGATCTTCAGAGGCAGTGACATGTGTTTTCCTCGAAATCCTAAAGATCTTGGCAGCAAACAACACATGACTATTAAGAGGTATAACTTATTGTAATAGCACATTAACTTTGAGCAGATAGATTAGTCGTATTAGAAAACAGGGAATCAGTCAAATTTCAAAAGAAGCAATAAGTTAGGACATCATAATGGATCTTCTTACTGCTGTTGTAGGAGAGACTAAACTACCAATGAAAAGATGGAACTACGCATCTACATACATTATCAAGTGATTATACAATTTGGCAGCATCAGCAAAAACTAAACAAAAATCAATGAAGTTACCTGCGGAACCCATTTAGGTGATACAAAACTTGTAGCTTCCACGACTGGCAAGCCAGAAGCTACTAGTCTTCGAATCAGTTCAATCTTTATATCTGTAGGTACAATAGTTTTTTCGTTTTGTAGTCCATCTCTTGGCCCAACTTCTACTATCTTGACAAATGCCGGTATGTCTTTCAAAAACTGGTTCAGACAAAAACAAAGACAAAAGTTATAGATGTCAGAAGGAACATAAATTGGTCAAGCAGAGATAAGCTGATTGCAGACCAGAACCCAGCACTGGACCAATGAAAGGAGCTCAAGAAGACGTAACTAAACTGGTTTTGTAGACCAAAAATAATATATCAACTTACATTCTGTCATAATAATAAAATAACAACAAGCAAAATACAGTTCAACACACTCAAAGCACCTTATTCGCTCTGCCTCGTACATCTTTGTTGCGAGATTGGGCATCAATTTGATAATCTGAAAAGTTCCGCGAATGGCGAATACTTCCATTAGCGACATGACTCACACCCGTGCTCCTAGTCCTCCGCATGAAGGACTCACCATTAGCCAGCCCTCTTGTATGCCTTCTCCAGGGAAAGGTGTCTCTTGTATATTCAGACTCATCCCTACATAATCATGAATCGTACGATATGCAATAAATCAGCTTGCTTAAACGTGCAGCAAATCAGTAAATGGACACACGACTCACTAGATCAAAGAAGAACAACCAGCCAATACATGATACAACCTCCTTAATAAGTCTTGAGAAATTTATGTTCATTGTTGAATGGAGAACACAGAAAACATACACCCTAACAACACATAAATCGAGCTGTGGACCACGACTCAACCTCTATCTTCATACTTGTGCATACAGTGATCATGTGTACGACATAACACAGAGGTTATGACTACATTTGAGATTTTTTCCCACTAAGGAACAGCATCGTTGGTTATATTTCATGAAGTGGAACAGAAATGGATATCCGAATGTCAAAACCGAACAGACTTAATCACAACTGATTTCCCTACAGCTCATGCTGATTGAAGGGAAAGTAAACAACAAAGTTAAGAGCTTCACTTACTCGCAACTGTTAGATGAGCTGCAATTCCTTCCATCAATAAAGCAATGCCCCATCCCCAACTCATCGCCGCTGGACCGGCAAGCACCAGACGAGAACCTTTGAATCCGGTCAATGGTGCTCATGCTGGGCAGCTTGTCAAGGCCGAGCGGCTCCTCCATGCTCGACATTGCGGAAGCGAATTCAAAAGTTGAAACTGGAATCATCGACGCACGCAACAGTTTAGTTCTCTGCCATGAACAGAGTTGCAAGGCCTTCTTTGCTAGCATTATATCTCACAACAACTGACATAGGAATATTAACTAATATCATCACAGAGATACAAACTCCATTCAATTATATAAAAAAAAAAAAAAAACGCGCCAAAATTGAGCAAAAATTCCCAACGAATTCCGTATCAACACCATAGCAGCTCTCTTAAATTTCCCCGTTTTCCCTAAACCGCCGGAAACACGGGGAACACAAACAAGGGCAAACGGACGGGCATGAAAAGAAGATTAAAGGATACCTGGCTGAATCCAGAGGAGAAGCTGGAACGGGGAGTTGCTAAGAAAACCCTAGAATTTTGGGGGGATAATCGGGCTGGTTAACCTGCTTTCGGGTTTTGTTGACCTTTTTTTCAAATAAATATTTGGCAGGCAAAAAATGGAGGGCCTTGAAATGAACGATTGGAGGAGGAAGTGGTTGGGGGGCAGGCAAATGTAAAATTGAATGCGTGATGGAGTCGTTAACTGATGGCGCTATTCACTGTGTTCCTTCGTTTACACTCACTCGAGTCAATGGTCATTTTGGCCCCTCTACTTTCACACTTTTAACAAACAAGTCCTTGTCTCTGTCAACAAAAAAAAAATTCCTCATTATTACCGTTTCTTTTTCTTCGGTTTCGATATCATAGGAGTTTAATTTCGTCTATTATGACGGTAATTGACATCCTATTCCTGATACCCGCCTGAAAAACAATATAGCAGTCCTTCTGGGGTTAATGTCATTTGTTAAATAATAATATAATTTAACCCTTGATCAAAATTCAAATAGACCCTCTTAATTTCTAATTTCTACTTTCCGATCAAGTTTTGGAATTATACAGCCACTTGGTTTCTGGCTGGAGTATCATACACGTGGCTTTATACTAATGGCTGGCACGAGTCCCATACTGATGGCTGTCCTTCCGCAAATTCCATTAAAAGATTTTTTTTTTTTCCCCTCTCTATTGGAGGTCGATAAACAACAGCACAAATGAGAAACAGGTGGCCTATCATGTCCCGCACCAACCAGTTTTTTTTTTAGTTTTGACAACAACGGTTCACGTAAGCGGACAGCCGATTAGAGCTCCGGCAACAAGAAAGGGGATAAGATCATGTGGTCACATGACTAAGCCAATCTCAACCATCCAGCCTCATTAAAATTTGATGGTTCTAACCTATCTATTTTAATGAAGGACAAGATTGTGACTACACATTTTATTTATTTAAAAATTAAAATAAAATAATAAACAATTTTCAACTGTTGCTCCACCCTCCCGTCGCGATCCTTTTTGGGAATTTCCGCCGACGGCAGCGCGAGTCCGACGACGGCAGCACGAGTCCGGCGGTCGCAGCACGAGTTTGGCGGCGGCAGCACGAGTCCGGCGGCGTGGTCCTCTCCCTGGGATTTTTATTCCCACCAGAGGGGGATTTATCTCCCAAAAGAGAGCTTTCGTGGGGGGGGGGGGGGATTGCCATTTTCCTGGGGATTTTTCCCCAGCAGGAGAGAGAAAGAGAGAGAGAGCCATTTTCCTCGGGATTTTTCCCCAGCAGGAGAGAGAGTACTTTTTATGTTATGATTTGTATACTTTGTATTCATTTGTTTGTAATACAAGTTTGTAATGTTTGTTTGTAATGTTTGTTATTTTGTAATGTTTGTTGGTTTCTTTTGTATTGTTTGTAATGTTTGTATGACTATTTTGTATATATTGTAATTTGTAACTTTTGTTATTCAAGTTTGTATACTTTTATGTTATGATTTGTATACTTTGTATTCATTTGTTTGTAATACAAGTTTACCAATCTGTATTGTAAGTAGTGATATTCTGTACGTGTAGTATGCTTTGTACTGTTTGTCGGTTTCTTTTGTAATGTTTGTTGGTTTCTTTTGTATTGTTTGTAATGTTTGTTATTTTTGTCCACATGTTTGTCATTTTTGTCAACCATGTTTGTAATGTTTTTTGCATCACAAATCAATACATATAAAGTATACAAATTATTAGTACTTACAATACAAAGCGACATGATTTGCAGCACAAATCAATACATATAAAGTATACAAATTAATATTACAAAACATACAAACTATACAAATCATACTGACATTTTGTACAAAAATACTAACAATACAAACTAATGTTACAAAACATACAAACTATACAAATCACTGTTCTTCCTTCAGACGACCTATACGATGTCTCTCCACCGCCGCTGCCGCTGACTCTCTCTACTGTCGTCGCCACCTCTCTCTCTCTCCATCGTCGCGCTGCCTCTCTCTCCTCCATTGTCGCCGACACACTCTCTCCGCCGCCTCTATCCTCCACCATCGTCTCTCTCTCTCCTCTGGTTTCCCGACGACGACGAGATCTACTTTCTCTCTCTTCAAAGCTGCCGCCTCTGTCACGTTCGTTCTCCTTTCCCTCTCTTCGTCGTCGCCGGCACCGTCGAGATCTCCATTGTCGTCGTCGCCGCCCTCTCTTCCATCATCGCCGGCGTTCTCCCCCGCTGCAGCGCTTCTCTCTCATGGGCGGCGGTGCTACGCAGAAGAAGACAGGCTGGAGGAAAAAAATAATTAAATAAAATTTTCATAATCCCAAAATTGCCCCTCTCATTATTTAATCATCCCTTCCCTTATTTCCACCATTAGATCAATTAATAAGGATCCAATGGCTGAGGGGGCTTAGCCAAGTGACTAAGCACCCCCCCCCCCCCCCTAGTCACCAGATCCGCTCTCAACAAGAAAGCGACTTCTCGGTAGTCCGATGAATGAAGCCCAACTTCTCTAGTCTCTGGCCCATTAGGAAAACTCGACGCCAATCTTCCTGGGCTTTCGCACACCCATCCGGCCCATTTTCCCTTGTTACGGTAAGCCCAACAGTGGACGTCAAGGCCCATTCCATTGTTGCGGCTATTGAAAAGTCCGGATGTTGAAAGGTCAAACGATTATTAAAAAAAATATAATTGATAAAATCCATTAGTGCATGTGCAATATCGATTTTCCCCCTGTTGCCAGACAGTGCAATATGGACAATCGTATCAACTTGGGGGAAATTTTTGTGTGCAAATACAGATGAACATTCACATTCATATTCACATAATCACGTCACGGCTAAAACAAACAGGAAAAATAAAAGGAACACATGGCCCCTCCATAGTATATTATTATTATTATTATTATTATTATTATTATTATTATTATTATTATTATCAGTATTAATCAACCTTCACAAAGCACAATTAACATCAGTTTCATCTTTCCGATGAGGAGATTTAGCTTCAGTAATAACCCGCCACGTCAAACCCCCCACACTCGAGATTAGCAACGGCAAAAGTCGGGCACGAAAGGAAAAGCAATCGCAAGTTCGCAACAAACCAAGTAAAAATCCTCTGTACACAAATCCCACCAAAGAGTAATTAATTAATTAAGTTAATTAATCAATAATAATCAACCGCGGTCCAACGGAGACCTTTCACTCCCCTGCATCAAGCCGCCGCCGCCGCCGCCTCTGGCGGATATTTTCGATTGCCGGAACACCTTCATCGGACTCGGGAAATGCCACCCCCTCCCAACGCCGCTTCCTTTCCACGACGACGGCCTCCCTGCATCCGCTGACGTCACCGCCACCGACCTAGATTTCCTCATCATCATCCTCCTCCGCAGCTGCTCACCGTCCTCCTCCTCCCCCGCCGCCACGCCGTCCTTCTTCTTCGCCGACGCGCCGCCGCCGCCTTTCAGAATTGACCAGAACGACGGAGCGGGAGTGGGAGCCGCCTTGTCGGAAGCAGCGGCAGGAGGAGGAGGATGACGATTGGTTGACGACCGGAGGAAAGGAATCGCCACCGCCAAGGATCTCGACCGCCGCAAGGAAGGCTCGGCGGTGTTGCTGCTGCTGCTCTCGAACAGAAAATTCGATATGCGGCTGACGCTTCCGGACCTCTTGATCGTCGACGACGACGATGAAGAAGAATCGGCGGCGGTGGTGGAGGAGCAGGCGCCGCAGGAGCAGGGGCGGCGGGCGTCGCCGCAGTGGGGGCAGAGAGCCGCCAGGCGCTCCCTGAGGCAGCGGTGGCAGATTCCGTAGCGGGGGCGGCGGGAGCGCGACGACCGCGGCGGATGCTTGGCGCACTTCCACACCTCTTCCTCGTCTTCGTACGCTTCCGCCATGAGAGAGCTGCGATTTCGAATTTCCCCTCTTTCTCTCTCTCTCTCTCTCTCTCTCTGCTGTAATATTGTGTATTATTGTGTGATGAGAATTGAGAAGAGAGAGGGAAAGCAAAATGGGGGTGGCGGGGACGTTTGGTTTTTGAGGGTGTGGTTTTAGTTTAGGGGCTTTCGGCCACGTGGGGTAGGTGGTGGTGGTCAAGGGTCGCCAGTGGTGGGCTTTTTTTTCTTTCCTCGGGTTTTAATCAAGCCCAAAATAATTTGCGTGTGGGATGAAAGAAATTAATAATAATTTGCATGTGGTGGTCCCCGCCACCGCTTTGACGACGGAGTGTGTCAACGGCGAATTCGTCCAGCACCTCTTTGAGGAAATTAGGGACCGTCTAGAAGGACGCCGGCGGTGGGCGTTCGTTCTCATTTATGAGGCTCCGGGCTCCGGGTGAGGTCAGGAGCAGTGGAGGCATAATGAGGAGGAGGTTGAGATGTTGAATATTGACGATTTCATTGTGGTTATAAGACTTGACTTTATTCAGGACCATTGTCTACTACTTCCTTGTTCGAAACAATGGGGAAATCAAATGATTTGAGAATTTGACAAGGTTGTCAAACCGGTTTATGCTAGTGTGCCGGTTTAGCAAGTGGAATGGTTCGACCGATGGCACATACCGATTTGTGCCGGTTTATGCCGGTCAATATTACAAATAAAATTATAAATACTCATTTTAAACATGACATTTAACGTCAATACCTAGACATTTATACTTGAATCCAACAAATAACATCAATATTTAACATTTATACTCATAAAATAAATAATAAAATAATTTTTAACAATTAAAGTCACTAAAATAAGGTTATTTTACTTAGAGATTTGTATATCGATCATGCCGGTCATACCGGTGGTGTCACGCCGGTTTTATGACTGGTACAGGTTGAATCAGGTACAACCGGTGACACGCCGGCCGGCGTGACAACCTGGAATTTGAGATTGTGCTTGAGTTTGCAATAAAGGTGGATCACTAGTTAAAATGAAATATAGTTTGTACGTTATTGAGTACTTTTAATAACTTTTAATGTTGGGACTTGATTTTATATTCATGCTTCTTAGTTATACTTGTCATTTTAACTGTCCACATTTTCAGGCTGGAAAATGAAAACAAATGAAATTTGTATTAACAAGGAATCGGAGAGATTACACATTGTCAGAAAAAACGAAATGTTGAGAGGACATTACAATAAAATTTTATTCCTTGGTATATAATTTTTTCTTCATCAAATTATGTTGTGAGTTATAGGAAGTGATTTCATAAACGAGTGCACAAAATTTGATCCACAAACCATAATGTCAAAGTATGTTGTTCACCACATATGTTCCTTTGGACAATCTCAAGTTCAATGACTCCAAATGAAGTGGATTAAAGGAAGTGAATTCATAAACGAGCGGATCGAGGATCTTGGTTTTCAAATGCCTCCACACAAGAACTCACCCCCCATACTCTACTCAATACACTTTCTTAACTTGATTCCACATAGTTATTTCGTTCAGGGGTGTTTAAGAGTTTCCTTAGTTTGTAATCAGTTTATTCTTTACACACATATAATCGTGGGAATGCCATTGCTTTAATATAGAATAATAAGTAAATATGTTCATTTATTGTAACATGATATTGTCTTTTGGATGCTACTACTAAGTTCAAGTACATGGGATGACGACATAATAAAAAAATCTCCAAAACATTTTGCTTTAGGTTTCCTTTCTCCTTTAAAGAAAAACAAATCATTCTCCCGAATGACTCATTCAGGGAACTAACAAGCAACCTCGTATACAAAACATCCTTCCCAAGAGTTTGAATTTGTGTGGCGAAGTTTGTTAATTATGAGATTTTGTGTCGTTTTAATTGGTCCAAATTATCAAAATTGTGGTATTTTGCTTAAATTTAAAATCGTTACAAAAATATCATTCCTTCATAGTGTAGAATAGTAAACACACAAAAAAATCGAAGGCATTTATTTATTTACAAAAAGCATGACGAAATCGTCCTAATTCATAACATTAACAGAACGAGCCATGATTATACCCATAACGTCATACAACAATCATTGATACGGGTTCTGGTAGCACATATCTAAATAATGTGTGCCAAAAGGTAAACCATGACCCTTAGAAGTAAAAAAAATTGGCAACATAATTACTCCCTATAAAGTATAAACATGCTTCACAAAAGCCTACCAATCACGAATTAAGAGTTGACCAATCTTCATTGCAAGCAGCCCAAGGTGGTGACTATCATCTTTCGCGTCACAAATTATGCAAATTGATGTTTCTGGTTAGAGGTGTAACTCCACTTTCATGAAATCTTTTTGCCAAGGCATCTCGAGGCCCACGCTGCTCCTTTGAGCTCAACACTGGTTATAGAACATAGATCAATGTTGAAAGAGAACACATCCATACATCTTCTGAGGTTGTCTCTAATAAGCCCTCTTGGTCCATCAACACTTGTTGTACCCAAAACCAATCCATCCATTTGGACTTAGATACACCCTTCTCTCGGGGGGTTCCCATCCCTTTTGTTGCTCCATCATCCGACATTTAACAAGGGATAGACGGATAACAACACTTTGCGACGTTGACTTGTAGATGTTGAATCAGACTTTGGTTATGCATATTATTCCTTCTTCTAAGTAATTCTTACCCTCCATAACTTCATCATTTATCTGCTTCCAAAGAGCCAGCAAATGATTCCAAATTCCATATTAGTATCATCGACTTTTATATTTCTGCTAATCCATGACTAGAAGTCGATGAAATTATTCCTATATTTGACCTTATATTTGAATGACTTATGGATCCTTACCGTCTTCTTGCATCTTCTGATTATGTGCTCCCATTGTTTCCTCCTCATCAATGCAACAGTTGCGGATGCCTTTTTTATGTGAGTTGACATTTCTTTCTTTATGCACTAGTGAGAGTCTGTTGTGCGACACAAGTCAGAGGACCAATTTTGTTCTACTAGGTCGTCCCATTTCCAGAGACAGTTTCATAAAGGCTAGGTTTCGTTTCCATTTCGCCCTCCATCTATTGTAGAGTGTGCTCCGAATCTCCCATCGCCACACCCCAAAGAGTTTTATAGTTTCCGAGTACCGGTTTATGAGCCTCCATTCTTGCAATTCATATCAGCGTTCCATTTGGAAGATTAACTTTCAATCTCTGTCAGTCACACTCACCTTCGCCATTAACCCATTTAGCTACACACGAGTGCTTCTCCTTCATGGATAGATCAACGAGGGAATAATCCTTAGTGAAAGTGTCTTTGTCAAGTCAGGATGGTTCCAAAACCCCGTGGTCTCGCCATCCCTTATGCTCCACACTAATCCTTTCTTCACAAAAGGTACAACTTTTTTGATTGCTCCTCACAAACTACAACGATTACTAGGCGTCATCACATTGATTTTCGCTTCCCGGTGATGGAAGTACTTCCCTTGGATTATATGCAGCCAAAAACTATTTCATTATTAAATATATGCCACTCAAGTTTCACCATATAGGCTAGATTAAAGCTTCTAGCCAATCTAAGCCCTAAACACCCAGTCCCCTTTTTTCCGGTTACATATGGCATCCCAAGAAACCAAGTGTACCTTCCTTCTTGATTCCCACACAAACCATCTAAATTTTCTATCTAATTGCCCCGCAAACATATAATCGCGTGGATGCACTTTCTTAACTTAATTAATATATATATAGTTACTTCATTGAGGAGTGTTTAAAACTTTTAGTAGTTTGCAATTTCCTCTTTACACATACAATCATGGCAATGCCATTGTTGTTTCAATATAAAAGGATGACTGGATATGTTCATTTATTATAGTCCGATATTGACTTATGGATGTTGTTACTAGGGGTGGCAATTTGGTTATTTCGGTTATAACCAGTAACCGATCGGTCGGTTATTGGTTAACCGAAATGACCACCATCTCTACCAAACACCGACCGAAATAGGTTTTGGTTATCTCGGTTATCGGCTAACCGAATCACTTTTAAGACCAAAAATCATTTCGTCCACCCTCCGATAACCGACTGAAGTTCGGTTACTTCGATTACCGGTTAGTGAATAACCGACCGATTACCGGTTTAACCGGTCGGTTAACCGATAACCGGTAACGAAACGGCCACGCCTAGTTGCTGCTAAGTTCGAGTACATGAGATGGCGACATAACACCAAAATCTCCATAACCTTTTGTTTCAAGTTTCCTTTCTTCTCGAAAGAAAAATGACTTCTCTCCTGAATGATACATTTGAAAAACTAACAATCATCGTGTATCTAGAACATCTTCGTCTCAAGAGTGTGAATTTGTGTGCTTACTTTTGTTATTTTTAAGAGTTTGTGCCATTTTGGTCCAAAGGATCAAAGTTGAGTTATTTTGCCTAAAGTTAAAATAGTTACAAAGCCATCCTCCCTTACTGTAGAATCTAGACTACTTATATAATACATTTTTTTTTTGGCATAGATAGGGTAAAATTAGATATTACAAGATACTTAAAAGCCAAACGCGGCAGTCGGTCGCTAGCCGAACTGCCGATGAGAGGGCATTAGAAGCCACTAAGTGGGCAGCCCTATTGTACAACCTAGGTGTAAAAGTACAAGAAAAACAAGAGAAACTATCAGCAGCAAAGCAGATTTCCTCAAGCAGAGCCCCTCCAGCACCATGTGCGACATCCTTCTCCCGTACTCGACGCGTCAGTAATTGGGAATCACCACAAAAATTCACAACAAAGAACCCATGTGTTAAACACCAATCAATTGCATCCCTTAAAGCTAACACTTCCATGATAAACGGATCTGTTATACCTGAGTAATACTTGCCAATTGCGAAGAGGAGTTCACCTGTAGGAGAGAACCCGGTAAAGCCGATTCCACCGCCTACTCCTTTTTTCCAAGACCCATCAAATCGAACAAGCACTCCACCGGCAGGACAAACACCATCACGGGCAGCAGCAGCAGGCTGTGTTTGGCGGAGGGCCGAGGGAGCACGCGATCGAGAGGCCTCTTGATGTAATGTCATAGGAGCTGTGGCGTGTACCCATTCATCTACCTGAGCCCTGTACTGACGGAGAAGAGCACACCCCCCGTACTGGATATGTTTATGAATGGACCAACACCTTGCCTTCCAAACTCGCCAACAAATAAGATTATATCTGCAATGTGAACTTTAGTAAGATGACAGGAAAAGAACAAATGGTTCCAACAATCAGCATGTGAGAGTCCCTCAAGGGTCCTGCGCAAGTGCCCCCAACCAGCCAAATCCCATAATTCCATAGCAACTCTGCAAGTGAAGAAGGAGTGCATAATAGATTCTGATCCCTGTGAGCAAACCGGGCAGGTTGCATCCGTAACCAGTCTTTTTTAAAGTAGAACAGCGCAAACTGGGAGAAAGCCGCGCACCATCCTCCAACAGAAAAATTTTAACTTGGGCGGCAACGGGAGACTCCAAAGTAGCTTCCAAAACCTGCTGCCAAAAGGAAGAGGAGATGGAGGATGAGCAATTTTCAGTTCATTAGACAGAACATGGTATCCCGACTTAACCGAGTACTCGCCAATAGCCGCATAATGCCAAATCAAACGGTCTGGCAGCAGCCTAAAAGAGAGGGGGATAGAAAGTATCAACTCGATAGACTCGCTGGTGAATAGTGAAACTAGCAAAGCACGATTCCAAGTTCGAGACTCCGGGCATATCAGATCAGCAACAAGCAAGGGACACCAACTGATACCAGCGAGAAGAGTAGGAGAGGAGGGAGGGTCAGAAGGAAGCCACTTATCTGTTAAGATGCGGATGCGAGCACCGTCACCAACCCGCCACCGAAGCCCTCGTAAGAGGAGATCCCGACCGGCTAGTAGCCCTTGCCAAGCCCAAGAGGGTCTAGACCCTACCTTTGCCTCTAGGAAGGAAGAATGTGGGTGATAACGAGCACGGTACAGATGAGCTAATGTGGACGTCGGATTCTGCAGCACTCGCCAAGCTTGCTTCGCTAAGAGAGCAATGTTAAACCTCTCAAAGTCTCGAA